GGCGCCGCACAGTAATGCCGAAAACGCGACGCATTTCCGACCATCAGTTTTGGCGAGATCTACCTACCTTTAGATTTTGATACAATAGTTTCGGAACACCCTGTATTTTTAAATCTACGAAAACTTAGGGATATTTTAAATTAATTTCAGATTCAAGAAGAAAAACTAAAGAAAACTTTAAAATTGACTAAAGTAACAGACTTTTTATTTGCGAAACCCCTTTAACGTCAAATTCTGAGTTGAATAAAAATCAAGATCATGAACAACTGCCTTCCTGTTCAACTTCAAGCAATATTAGTTTAAGTGAAAATAACAGCAATGAGGAAAAAATAATCTGACCTGGGGGCCCCAAGGGCCTATAGCCCCGGGCCCCCTAGGACCTTAATCCGGCACTGTAGGAAATGCATTGAAATTCTATAGCCATCCTTCAATATCGGAACAGGAATTTAAGCGGTACCCTCCGTATACTTTATTTTAAACGTATTTGGTTTATCCCTTATTCTGAGGTTTACCCCCGTGGGTGGGGTAGTTTCCAGTGACAACACCTTAATTATGCGTACTACGTTCTTTTTGTGCTCTAGTAGTAGTTTTGTCTTTTTGCTATCTGCCACTGGCCACAGTCTTCGAACTGTAGCGCAGTCCTCGTGGTGTTGGCACCTTGCTGCTTGGACTTGATGGTAGTTCCTAAAGCTTCTTTCAGTATGTCGATTGTCACAAATGGTGGCTCATCTGCAATGGCCTCTCCCCTGACCCCTCTTTGGCGAGTCTGTCGCGTTCTTGACTGCCCAATACATGTGCTGTGGTCCGGCACCCAGAACAGAGTGGCGCCGCGCCGCACAGTAATGCGGAAAACGCGAAAAGTGGCAAAAACTAATTTCTTAACTTACTACTACATTTATTTAAATTATTTTTGTTAAATGTGGTTTTCTAAGTATATAAGTGATGTTTTGAATTCAGAAAATTAAATTATGTATACAGAGTATACTTAAATTGGCTGTAAAAACTAAAAAATATGTTGTAGAAAATTGAATTATATTATTTTGTCTTTAATAGCATATTAATTTGATACTCTCTTCTTTGAAAAGTTTAAAAAAAGTTAATAATACGCAAGAAAAAGAAACTAAAAATTATCTTAAAGCTTCTAGATAAGATGGATAATATACCTATTTAAAATGGATTTAGCAAATGGATAAAACATAGAATAATTTAATCTATAATAAGTTTTAGAGCTTCAGGATGCTGTTCTATTTTACTTGACAGAAGAAGTCTTGGTGATCTCTTACTATATATCTGTAGTAGAAGGTGCATGACATTCTTGATAAAAGTTGTTGACTGAATGTTGACGCATCATAGACACATTGACACATCTTTGTAGTTTATATTAACAATAAATATTCAAAATTAATGAGATTTCTAATAATATTAAATTTAATGTCATATAAGCACAAAACGAATAAAATCTTAATCTTAAATGGGAATAGCAAGTTAAATTATACATTAAAAAATTACTTTTAAATTTAAATACATTTTATATCGAAAATTAAATTGAATAAGAGAAAATATATTACCAGTTTCCTTTCTAAAACTAATTAAAAATAACCAACAACAATATTTTACAGCACCTAAGAAACACCCAGTAATATATTGTCATAAGTAATTTATTTTGGTAAACTAGGGAAAGTAAAGCATTTTTGGGAGAGTTAGGCAACCTAGAGAGAGTTCCCAAGAGTTCCCAAGTAGAAAAACATTCAACATAAGGGTTTAATGTTTTATATTTTATTCCTATTCAGAACTTAATTTTTTTGTCACTTGTACTGCACCATTAAAATTGATGTGTAAATTCTTTCTGAATTGGTTATTAGACTTAAGTACTTTTTTTTATTTTCTCTAAACTCATTTCAATAAATTCATGTTAATATTTCCTACTGTGTTATTTTGAAAACCAATACAAACTTTTATATCTTTAAAACGAGAACTTTTAGCTCTATGCAAAATATGTAGAGAATGCTAATTAAAATTCTTAGTTCAATTTTACAATCTTAATGTATTATATTGTTGTTAGTAAAAAATGTGAATTTTGACATATTATGTTGAACACAACTTTCCAATTGATTGGATAAGAAACGTTAATTGGCGTCTTCTTCAGCGATTATGTTGCTTTACCCGATATTTAGAATTCCAAATATCATACTTTAGCATTTACATAGGTATAGGGACTGACTTTATGCTCATTTTTTTGCAACTTATTTATGATAAAATAATAAAATTTAATACCAATTGCCTAAACTTACAGTCAAAGAAATTCTAAATCTATACTTAAATGACTTAAAATATATGTTGATAAGTAAACTCTACACTCTCCATTAGATATTAATTTGTTAGAATTTGACTTTGAACCGAAAAAAGTTTTTAATTCAAACATTCATTGAATTATTTCTATTATTACTTATGGAATAATAGTCACTCTCAAAAATATTATACAAAAAAGGTTTCTCGAGTAGCTAACTTTACCATTCCTTTTCCATGCGTTTAATGTAATTTATCGCTCTAAGGATGTAGACATCGTTTCATTTTCATTTCATTATACATAAATTCAAAGTATTAAAGCTTTAAGTTTTTAAAGAATAAATTATACTGTTCATGATTTTCAAATTCTTTATAACGTAAACATCTCAGGCTACATCTTTACAACCTAACAAAACCTAATAATGTTTTTGAGAGAGTAACCTACTATTAACTACTACTAACCTAATTAATTTAATGCTCGAAAAGATAACACATGTTACTGTAAATGTCCGAAATGCGGTAAACACTAGGATAAGCGCGCTAAACCTAGGATTTACCAAAAGCATTAACTAATTAGGTTAGCCTGGTTATTTCGAGGATGTTAATGCATTGGTTAGCCTGGTTATTTGGAGGGTGTTAATGCATTGGTTAGCATAGTTAATTGGGGGTGTTAATGCAATGGTTAGGTGGTTATTTGGTTTTTACTACAACTTGCTTTTGCAAAATCCTAGGTTTTACCGCATTTCGGACATTTACAGTAACATATACAGGGTGCTACAAATTCGAGGTACGAGCATTGGTATCTCGGTAGCCGTAATAGATACGAACATGGTTAAATTGGGGCAAAGTTGCGTATTGGGATGTTCACCAAGATGCCATCAAAAAAGTTTTAAAAATTTCAGGGATTGCTGAGTTTTTTGGAAAAAATTGATTTTTTTGAAAATCAATTTTATTTTTTCCTGTCGTTACTTTTTCGAAAATCGAAAAACTAATTGCACATTCTCATAGCCACTTTATTAGGGCTATCTGATAGTATTTTCAGATTTTCAAATTAGCTGATAATTTTTGAGATACAGAGGCCAACTTAATTTTTTTAAATACGGACCTGCATTTTTTATTTCAGATTTTGAAAGAACTCGGTCTCCTGAATACAATGATATGCCACACTTTATACTTTTTTTTGTTTTGGATACTTTAACAGCAACAAAACTATTTAATTATTATTTAAAATAATTTGAAGTCCGACTCTGGTTTCTTAAATTATTTAATCTGATTATATTCATAGCAACAATATTGATCAGCTCTAATTAACATTGAATAAAGAAAATCGAGCCAATTGGAAGATTCAAATAAATAATATCCAGGTCAGAAATTTAAAGATATTATTTTTAACTTTTTTATTGTGAATCTGAAATCTCAGTGTGTGATCTAATAATATGCATAATATTAATCGTAGTTATTATAAATAAATCAACTTCTACTAACTAGTTTCTAATGTTCTACATGTTCGAAAGGGTTACCACCGTCCTTATTGCACAAATTTATTTTTCGCTCAATTTTATTTCTATACCTCTTTGAACTTTCTTCTTATACTTCCGAATGCATTTTGTACTCTTTATTGTAAATGTTGAGAGGAAGTGATTTCACTTTTACAAATGACGTCAAATAATGTAGCCCCTTGGCGATAGGTCTACGAATCTCGCTGGACATTATACGGCTCTACCATTTCCAATCCATCTTCCGGGAAAATGATTTGATTGTTTATATTATATTATATTTATATTAATTACTTTATATTATTTTATTGCATTTGATTTTCCGTATTCAATGTTTTACTCCACGTCATTGTTAAGTTTGAAAGCTTATCAATATTGTAACGATGAATAGATTAAATATTTAAAAAAAAACAGAGCCGGACTTGAAATTAGTTTAAATAAATTGTGTTCAAATGCCAAAACAAAAAAAAATATTAAGTGTGGCACATCATTGTACTCAGGAGAGCGAGTTCTTTCAAAATCTGAAATAAAAAATGCAGGTCCGTATTTAAAAAAATTAAGTTTGCCTCTGTATCTCAAAAATTATCAGCTAATTTGAAAATCTAAAAATATTATCCGATAGCCCTAATAAAGTGGCTATGAGAATGTACAATTAGTTTTTTCATTTTCTAAAAAGTAACGACAGGAAAAAATAAAATTGATTTTTAAAAAAATCAGTTTTTTCCAAAAAACTCAGCAATCCTTGAAATTTTTAAAACTTTTTTGATGGAATCTTGGTGAACATCCCAAACCGGCAACTTTGCCCACATTTAACCATGTTCGTATCTATTACGGTTACCGAGATACCAATGCTCGCAATTTGTAGCACCCTGTATATTACATATTTAAAAGTTTATTCAGATTATCATCTCTTAATTGAATAGTGTTCATTCTAATACCAACCAGTAAGATTCAATATGAGTTCTTTACAACTATTAAATAACGCAAAAAAATATAAGAACATCTAGAACCTAAAATTTTAGTAATTACGTAAAGAAAAAATGGGAATATCTAGGGAATATGTTAAAATCACATAAAAAAATCAAGTATTAATAGAGCAAAAATTAAAAAAAGAGTAAATAAATAAAATTAAAGTGCATCTTTTATTTTCTAAAAGATGTAATAACTAATTTTGTGTTCCTTTTTAAAATGGTATTCATAAAAGTCTTGTTGTTTCAGGTTTCGAATATGCAAGTACTGTCCCTCGACGAAGAAGAGAAGACAACAAAGGTATGATAGAAAATAAAAAATAACCAGTGTATAAAAAAAATATATAATTATCTCGGTGTAGTACTAACCAAAAGTTGTTTTTGTTCATTATTCAGCTAGCTTATTCATTTAAAGATTATGTTCAGTAGATTAGTTCCCAAGATAAATATTAATGGTATAGAGAAAGTCGGAATACCGTGTCAATCAGATACATTCCACTAGCTTCATGTTATATTGAATTGTATTCACATAATATGTGTTTTCAGTACGTGTAAAGAATTGTTTTTGATTCACCTGTTTATCAATGAATGATGTATAAAAATATTGAGTATAAAAACAGTTTTAAGCAAATCATTAGACAAGATTTTTTTTCTTGAATTTTACTAATAACTAACTAACTTAAGTTGGTAATTTCTTTGGTTGGCAACATACTAAATGCTATAAAAACATTCATTTTTGTCTCATATAGGATTTTTCTTTCATTTTCTATAGAAGAAATACAAATAAGTATTTTTTTGATTTTTTTAAGTAATGGTACAGTTTTTAAATAAATCTCAAATTTCAGACTTAAAAATCACTTATATAAATAAATTGATTTCTTTAAGGGAATACCTATAATAGACTCAATACCGTATGATCGAAAAAAAACTCCGTACAGTTGGCATGGAAATGACGATCAATGACAGTCCCCAAATAATTTTACATATAAATGACAGCCATCTTAATTTCATAGCCATTGCAGACGCCGTTTTTCTTTCGATCATATTACAGGCTGTAAATGTTAATATTTCATTAATACTATTTTGTGATTATTGCATTTCATTTCCTCATTTCAACAGTACCATTTAAACTACAGATAGGTATAATACAAATGGCTGTTTAGATAAACTTTGTTATTATTCTCGGATAAAGAGATGGTAGATATCTATTCTATTATAAGTTTTCAATAAGAAATGTCAAGGTTATGTATATCACTTTGTTGTTAAGACAATACAAAAGGAAAATTATAAAAAATCGATATTAAACGCTTAGGCGCGATTCTCACTATAACGTAGCCTCACCGTAACGTCGAGCCGGCCCACAGTGCTTCGAACATATGGCTCTAGAGGACAAAAATGCAAAACTTCTCTTTTATTGTAGGCAATTTATTCAAACTAGGTTTACTTGACACAAATGATGAGTACTCTCATTGTACTAAATGATGATGTTCTTAGTCCCACGTTTATGAAAAAAAATCTTATAAATAATAAAAATGTTGGAATTGTGTTCCATCTAAGGAAATAATAATTTATAGTATGAAAACGGTGTAAGTATTAAATAAATCCCTGTGATACAAAAGAATTCGAATAACATTAGAACATGATTCCTACAATATAAACCTAATATAAGATAAAAATGTTTTTCTTTAATGAAAAAGAAACATTAATGATATATTTAATTAAAAAAAAACTTAAGATACTATAAATTTACTTTAGGACAACAAAATGCATAGATCGTAACTACTCTGATTCAGAAGAATCATTGCTGACAGAACCTTCCAAATTTATAGTATCCAAATCACAGGTAGATGAAATATCCTCACATATACGATATTTCTGTACATCATTTTCTAATATGTTACTTTTTCGCGTTGTTACTGTTCTTTTTGTTGGTATGAGGGGTTCGGATGTTAATAGTTACCTCTTTAATAGACCATATCCATATATTATTTTTTCGTTTTCTTTGGTATGAGGTTTTATAATAAATTGAAAGATGGAAACATTTTTTATGCCACATTTCGCTCCAACATAGTGAGCTCAGGCACAAGTGGTTATAAAATTGGACTGGAAGGTTCATCAATATCTAATAAAGAACACATTTTTTGAAATATAAATAATTTTGAGTTCTTGTCCTTATGATTAAGCCAAGTATTAACCAGATCGGCATTGCTTATCAATTTTACTCCATCTGAAAAGTATTAAAAAATAAAGTCCGTCGCAAGCGGACGCAGGTGAACTATACAAAAATTAAAAGTGTATGAATATGGCAACAAAAATATTCAATAAATACGATATGTTTTGATATGTTTTTTTTAATGACTTTTTGAAGTTTGAAAACGTAAAATTTTTATACCCATTTAAGAATCATCTTAAAAAATAAATAAAAACTAAACAATAACGAACTTGTTTAGAAATAAATTTAAAGTACATACCTTGTTTAACAATATCCATAGTGGCTTTCAATTAAGTACATACCGTTTAACTCCATATACAGAACTACTATGAATGTTATTCTTTTTACTAATATAAGATAATGATCGCAAAATTTATTTTTAGTGAAAATATTTGCTAACAAAAAACGCTGTTTATGAAAAATAATATACAGGATGGTTGAACATTGCTATAAGTATAAAATTACATATTCAGATATTAGTAAATTTTAACTTTTTTTTCGATTTATGTCCATGGGACGAAGCACTGTGCGGCCCACTAAAGGGTATTTAACCCAAAAAGTTGGCCAATATTCTAATATCTAAATTCAAGATATCAACCAACCGATACCAGGAATTATTTGTATAAACATGAATGTAAATACATTCACCTACCCTCAAATGAGGGTGGGTGGTAGGGGTCAATGACCCGCCGTGTTACACTCCGCGCCAGTCACAAATTGTTCTTCAAATAGACGGTTTGTGTATCGCTGTGCTTTTAGAAAATTTACTTAATAATAATTATCTTAGTTTTTCTTACTAATCGCGATCTTTTATTGATCTTATATTCGTATTGAGGGGTTGAAGAAAGATTTGTTTAGAATTACTCTTTAGTATGACTGTTATTTTGTAGTTAGAACAATATTAATCTGCTAGTTCAATAATAGACATATTATTTAATTTATAACAGAATGTTTATGTAAACTTTCAGTATGTAATCGAACCTTATCAAGTACCGTATGATCGAAAAAAAAACGGCGTCCAGTTGGCTTGGAAATGAACATCGTTGACATTCCCCATATAATCTATACTAATATATAAAATCCTTAAGTGACTGACATACTGATTAATCACGATCCTGCTCAAACCACTCAACGTAAGAAGCTCAATTTTGGCATAAAGGTTGATTCTAGGGTGCAGAGATTCGATAAGAAGGGATTTTTCGAAATTCTAGTTCCAAGAGGGTGAAACCACCCCTCAAATATTACAATATTTTTTTTTTAAAAAACGGTCAAGTTTCCGAAAAAACGCTTAAACACGTATATTTTATTTTGTATTTTTACATATTTTAAGATTTTTTAAAAATGTATACAGGGTGTTTCGAAAAATCTGGTCATTGATTAATCACGATCCTGCTTAAAGCGCTTGACGCATAAAGCTGATTTTTGGAAAACAGATTGACTTTAGGGTGTATAAGAGGTTCGATAAGAAGGGATTTTTCGAAACTCGAATTCTAAGGGGGTGAAACTATCCTTCAAATATTAAAATATTTTTTATTTAAAAACCGGTTAGTTTTTCGGAAAAACTCTTAAACACGTATATTTTATTTTGTTGTTTTACATATTTTAAGATTTTTTATAAATTTATACAGGGTGTTTCATAAAATATGACCACTGAGTAATCACGATTCTGCTTAAACTGCTTGACGTAAAAAGCTTATTTTTGGCAGACGGATTTTTCGAAAGTCAAATTCCAACGAGATGAAACTACCCCTCAAATATTACCAAGTTATATAATAATATCGCCATATTGTTTTTTCTCATGCTGACATAAATGTGAGAAAATTTTATCCAGTTTTTAATGGAAATTCTTGCTTTGCTTTATCATCACCATTACAAATGATTAATTCGACGCGAACGAAGTCGCTGGTACACGCTAGTTTTACATATAAAATGACAGCGATCTTCATTTCATAGCCATCGCTTACGCCGTTTTTATTCGATCATACGGTATATCAATCTGGCTGGTTTTGTAGCTTAAGTATTCCTTTAGAAGGCCTTGAGGCCTTTTTTTAATCGAATAAAAATGTAGTGTTTTTCACTTTCAACACCCTGTATCTTAGAAACAATGCATTTCTGGACCTATGTTTATGGGAACTTTTCTCCATAAAATAACCTGAGGAATCACTCGAGTATTGACATGTTATTGAGGGACACCCTGAATAAACTTATGTATTTATATTATATACAGTACATCTGTCCGTTCTATAGGTACGGGGTATCCGTGAGAGGGAAAACGATATTCTCTCGATGTTTTTCGTAAAAAATTAGACGACGCGTCTCATCAATAAAAATTCGACAAATTTGCAAGTAGCCAATAAAATGAGTGGGCGGAGCAATTTGCGGTGACGTACTCGTCAACTCGACGAATAAAATATATTGTTGTTAATTTAAATGTTTTTTATCCGCATTCCTTTCATAGACACAGATCCAGCAGACGTACTGTAATTCAATCTTAATCTTCAATAAAAAAATCATCATCGTCCATAAAAAAAACGCTCGGTATGTATTAAAATTTGAAGCAATTTTTTTATTTTCTCATGTTTTAAAAAGCGGAAGAATGCAAAAAAAATACAAATATTATTGGCCAGGTTTTGAGGTAAAATACCCCATAGTTCGGCCGTCTCGACAGAAAACATGAAGTAGATGGAAGGGGGACGTTGCGATGCCGACGACACGACGCGATGGCGACGGCGACGTTATGAGTAGTGTGAATATTAGAGACGAGCAACAAATCGCAAACTGCGATTCAATCGCAGCGACTTTAAGATCGCAATCGCAACCTGCAATTGGCTCTCATAGGAAACCGCGACTGCGATTTCTTCTATTTGCGAGTTTCAATTTAGATATATTATTATAGTAGTGATTTTGCTGCGATTTGCGATTTTGCTGCGATTGTGATTTTGTAAACTAGGACCGTGATGAACTTCTGCCTGCGAAATTGAATTTTTAGGAGCTGCGATTTGCGATTTTGTTGCGAATGTAATTTCGTCGTCCATTGAAGCATTTTATAGTAAACTGCGATTGATTTTTTTCTCTAATTTTATTTATTTATAGAGAAGGTATTATTTTCTAGGGCCAAGATCATAATATACCGGGTGTTTCTCAAGGGTGGTTCGGCCCTATAACTTTTTTATTTTTTCTCATATAAGAAAACGAGATTTGGTATGTTAGGATATAACATAAAGATTGATTGATATTGCAGTTTAAAAAAAAACTTAAAAACTCAACAACTGATTTGTATTAACTTTTTTAACTGTTAAGCTATAGGTACATACACAGATAATACTTATATACCTAGTACAATATTTAAATATTAAAATCGCAATCGCAGGTTACAGTCGCAGCGATTGAAAAATCACAATCGCAGTTTCAATTGTGATTGGAGAATGGCAGTTTTGCTCATCTCTAGTGAATATGTTCATTGTTGGCAATTTAAGAATATTTACCATGGTGACCGGCGGCGGCGGCAAGCAGGCGGCTCGACGTGACGGTGGCGGTACGTTATAGTGAGAATCGCGCCTTAACTGAATTTTTTGAAATATCGAATGTAGTCTGTAAAGAAATGTAAATAAAAGCTCATCTTCGACAACTAAAGATTCTTATTTTGGTTGTTTTGTACGGATATATAAATTTTGTGTAAATAAAATGTAAATAGGCGTAATGTACTGTATTAATATTGAGCCATATTTTTTCATATTAACAAACAGCAAATGCATGCTTATCTGAAGTCCTAATGCCATTATGATTAAAGAGTTTTATAATCAAGTGTGTTTTTCCATTTTGATTTTTAAACAAACTGTATAGTAGCTATATTTTTTAATCCGTTTTTTATATTTATTATATATTTTTTATTAATATAATATATGATTAAACACAACCAACTTGATAATAAAAACTTTTTGATCAAATGTATATGAAACTTTTAGTCATTAGTCATGAAGCATATACCGGGTGCGTGTCAAAAGTGGCTCACTCCTATTAACTTTCTTATTTTTTCAGATAAAAAACAAGATTTGGTATGCTAGTATATGACATAAATTAGTATTGATTGACGTATACAATTTTTTCAGTCGCTTCCTGTTTTACCGGAAATGACTACAACTTTTGATGACTTTAATGACTTTACTTTCTTCGATGAAAATGACACTTTTAATAGAATGACATATATCATATCTCAACTTTTGACATTTTCGAATATGGTTTATTTGGAATTGCAACATGCGATTCATAACGACAATTTGTCCCGAAATACCAAGTGTGTTGTACCAAATTATTCGTAAAAAATGTTTTTTTCCAAATATATGCTAATGAGCCACCCTCGTTCCATTTAACCGGCCAGGACAAGACACTAACATTAGACGATCAAATATATTTTTCCAAGGCTCCTTGATTAAAAATTAGTGTTTTTAACACAGCCATGGCACTCTAGACTGAAATTTAAAATACAATTTTGTTTTAAGCCAAAATGTCGAAAGTTGACATATTATATATCACTCTATTCAGAGTGTTATTTTCTATCGAATAAAGTAAAAAAAATACCGAAGGTGTAATTTAAAAATCAAAAGTTGTAGTCAATTCCGGTGAAAGAGGAAGTGACCGTAAACAATTGAATATGTCAGTCAATCCTAATTTATGTCATATACTAACATACCAAATCTCGTTTTGTAACTGAAAAATAAAAAAAAGTTATAGGGGTGAGCCACTTTTGAGACGCACCCGATATAGGTACTTCTCGAACAACTGGTTGTAATGTTGCATTTTATGTTTTCGAGATCAACTAAAAATGTCTGGACCAGTGTTTTTCAATCTGTGGGTTTTCCCTAGAGAGGTCACGAAGCCTTACTCGGAGGGTCCCCGGCTGAAAGAAAAGGTCGAGGTTCTTACACAACAAAAACACAATTTTAGTGAGAAGGATGTGCTTGTTTATTTTTCAAAAGTTTATCAAATTGTGGTGCTATTTTTGAAACGTTAATAATCAAATCGTTTTCTAATTCCAGTCTATTTCTCTTTTTAGTTTTAATGTCTACCATTGAAGAAAATGTCAGTTCACACAAGTATGAAGTGGCGAATGACACTAATAATTTAAGAGCTTTCCTTGCCAGCTCTGAATATTTGTGTTTTCTTTTTATCCAAAATACGTCGACACTTTGTGAATAAAATTCCATTTTAAGCATGCCATCAGCGGCTAAATCTAGAAGACATTCTTTCATTTTTATGGTGACATCAGCCAGATCTATTGATTTGTCGAAAAAAAGGGTTTAAAATCCATCTACGCCCATTGCCAGCTTCAGAGTGCAGAAGTCTAGAAAGTATGCCAAAAGTTACTCTTGCAAATTATGCAAGCTCTGTATGGAATGTGAGCTGATACTGCAAAACTTTGGTCTGTTGCATTATCTTCAATAACCTTCTGAACACATAGAAAAGATTCGAACATTTTGTTTTACAGAGAAGTTGACCACAAACGAAGTTTTGCATGAAATGCTTCTACTTTATTTTTCGCTGTTAAAATATTTTCTTCTCTTTCTTGAAGGTTCTTGTTCAAATTGTTAAGGTGGCTAAAATATCTGCCAAAAATGCTAATTTCAAGAGCCAAATAGGGTCAGAAAAACGAGACGCATATTCAGATTTTGCATCTTGTAAGAACATTAACAATTCAGCTCTCAGTTCCAGAAATCTTGTCAATTCCTTTCCTTTGGATAGCCACCTGACCTCTGTGTGATAAAGGAGATTTTGATGAAGCGAGCCCAAATCTTCACAAATGATTTTGTATAGCCGGGTTTGCAAATCTTTACCTTTGTTACAATTCACAATTTTTATTACCTCCTTGAGCACGTCATTTAAATCAGAAGGTATACTACATTAGCAGCTAGAGCCTGTCGATGAAGAAAATAGTGTGTCCAGGATATGTTTGGCATTATCGATTTTAACTTTGCAATAAGTCCGCTCTTTTTGCCAGTCATAGCTTTAGCGCCATCGCTACAAATAGTGAAACATTTTTTCCAATCAATGTCGTAGTCGCGAGTACTTTCTAAAAACATATCGTATAAACACTAGCCAGTAGTGTTTGCAGGAAATGCTTTGCAAAAAAAAATCTTCTCTGATCTTCTTATTTGCTTCAAAGCGCACAAATACTATAAACTGTGCACAGTCAGAAACATCTGTAGATTCGTCAAACTGCAAAGCAAAATATTCGACGTCGCAGTTTGGCCCGCGTAAATAAATATACCAAAATAGGAAAACATAATTACCTAACTATATAGTCATTTCATTAAATTATTCTTTTGACTTTCTATGACACAGGGGGTCGCCAGAATATTTCAACCTGTAAAGGGGTCGCGAAATCAAAAAGATTGAAAAACACTGGTCTAGACTAACTGAATGTATTCAACTAGCAATTATTATTTTGATTTACTTCGACTTAAGTATCTGTATATAATAATCCTAGAGCCAGATACCCCTTTAACGCAACGGTGCATTAATATACGAATATACACTTATCCTTAGTCAGTGCTAACATATATTTTTACTCGATTTTTTTTCTATAATTCTATTATAGAAAGTATAATGAGTATTAATATAATATGTAAGTAGTATTAATACATAATTTTTAAAACCGAGATTAATTTCAGAAATTGTCAATAGTTATTTAGTTTACATTTTTATTCATACGTTTTCTTTTAATTAAATTAAAAGAGAACGTATTATACATAAACTTTAGAACAACTAAAATCTTGGACAAAACTAACTTACATTATGCCACTGAACATCGCCTTTATTAACCAAATGCTATATAATAGATACATAACATAAGAAAAGGTGAATATAGATACTTATTTGTTATTATTTCATTAAAATATCAGTTACAGCATGCAATTGTTGTTAGTTATTTATAAATATGACATATGTGTATAGAAAACATCTCCATTTCATTCTTTTGTATTATAAACTAATTATTTCTTCCTCTATCTCGTAGATGTGACAACAGTCCTCCTAGTGGACGCCCATGGCAAAAATTCCTTGGGCCGATTTCTCAGCGTCCGTCCTGACGTTGGACTGATAACATCTACTGCGCGGACGTTCATTCAAGACGGCGTGACTACCGAATATGCCACACAAGTACTGGGTACCACCCTCGATAATGGACGACTCTACGCCCACTTACTGACAAAAACGTCACGCGTTTTGTACGACAACGATTTACAGACTAAAGGATACGAGCAACAACCTCTCAAAAATGACTGGAAGCTTGACCAGAACGCAAACAAGAATTTCGTACGCAATACCGACTTTATTTCACCCGATCCTGCCCAAGCGGTTTACGTATTTCCTACATCCTTACCATTTGTTCATGAAAGTTCCACAAAACCCCAACCCAAACTATTCGTGGATCAGGAGATACTCAAAGAAGCTCAATCAAACAACGCTCGAGTCATATATGACCAACAAAAATATGTTGTACGTCCGGAAAATCATATCGTAAAAATTAACGCTCAAAACGACTTCACAAAGGAGAACATAATACATCACAAAGATAATCCAATCGATTTAGGAATTAAGGCTACCAAAGTACGTGCTTGGGATAATCTTCCCACATTCACTGTTAGAAATGAATTTTCACCTTCAGGCCTTTCTTTTATCGATCTTCCAGATTTCGATTCAAATACGGAAAGATCTAAGCTTACAAGTCCAGCCGATAGAAAAGCCAAACTCTTATTTAAAGCCGGTTTGCTTAAACCGAACACTGTTCAAATGGAAACAGTTACTTATACTGGCTTTGCTGATTTTACTACGACAGTTGCAAACACAGTTATTGTTTTTACACCTCACACATCTGATGCTGCCAAAAACACGGCTCTAGTAACTAAAATCGCTGTTGAGCCTACAATTCGACCAACTGCAGTTCATAGATTTCCATTCCCAACAAGAAGAGCTACCATTAAAACTCCAAAGGAAAAAAGCGGAGGGGAACCTGAAAGTACGGAACCTACCGTACCCACAACTTCCCAACAGAACCCTACCTTTATAACAACCGAAAGTAAACCAACAACAACACAAAAAAATATGGTAAAACTTGAGGAGTTGTTTACTCCTTCAGGTCTTAATAAACTGACTATTAATAAGGAAGACAGAAATGGTAAGATTAATAGCCCAGATGAACCGCTCGACTTAGCTGCTAAAATGTCGGTACTTGCCAATGAACAAAAGCAAGAAGGAATAACACCTCCAGCCGATACAACTATTTATTCTGAAAATATTCTACAGCCGTCAGAAACCCAGCCCGTTATGCTATCAACTCCTAGTGCGGAAGATATTGCTAAGATTTTAGCATCCCTACAAGCCCAAGCAAAAATGGCAACTGAACCACTAAATAGCAAATCTGAAACACTATTATTGGAGAAAAATAAATCAGAAGTAGTCCCGAAAATCAGTACTGGGGCTACAACTATCTTCTTTGAAGACGATTTTTCATTTGAACCAACTACAACTCAATCAACAACTACAACACCGTCTGAAACTGTAGAGAAAAAAGAAACAACTACAACTGAACAACCTTTAATACAAACAACATCAGAAAAAGGTACTACTACGACTGAAAAATACGATGAAATTACTACAACAGAAAGGGAACCTACAACCACACCGGAAATCACTGAAAATGAAATCGACACAAACAAAGCACATTTGGATTGTCACGATAACTCTAAAATAGTTCCAACGACTGTTTATAAAACATTAACATATCTAACAACTTTCTATATTCCATTAGAAGATAGCACAAGTACTTCTATTAAATCTAATGTAGTAGTATCTAGTGATATATCATTACAAACAGTATCATGTCATGAAAATTCCATACAAGCAAATGATGTGGTAGAAACAACGACAGATGCAGCTGCTGAAGTAACCGAACCAATTGAACTAACAACAGAAGATAAACTAACTACCACTACACAAGATGAAGAGGAATCCGATACCACAACATCTATTGGAACAACAACTCCTCAAGAAATCACAACTGAAACACGTCATGTTACTGAATCAGAACCAGAAACAACTGAAGCTACAACGGATGAAGGAGATGAAGTTGAACTTATTTTCAAGACATTATATACTACTTATACTTACTTAACAACTTACTTCCAAGATTCTACAAGTTCGGTTGCCAGTAGAATTGTGGTTACAACTAATGTTATTACCTCGACACTAGATCCTGGCAACGATGCAACCGATCCTGCTATGGATGCCTTATTGGAAAATTCTGATACGTCTGCATATAAATCAAAGACTGTAACTTTTGACGATTTAGCCGATATACAACCCTCGGCAGTAGGTGTAATTTCTTCTACTCAACAACCTATAAACACCGATTATTTGGATACTGTCAATGACCATGATGAATCTAAAATTGCTACTCCAATTTTAGATGATAAACATTTACAAACTGCCAATGGCATTAAAACTTTGTATACAACATATACCTATTTTACAACTATATTTGTCGACGGCGAAACAGAAATTTCTAGTAGAACTGAAGTATACACTAACTATGTAACTCCTAGCGCCGTAGGAGATAACCCATTAGATATTCTTGCGACCAAACTACCAAATCTCGAAGAGGACAGTGTGTCAGACACAACTACAGATAACAGCATAGAGAGTCAATTATTATTACAGAATAGATTAAAGAGTCTTAAATTTACTGGTGCTAATAATTACAGTAGCATTAATAGGCAAAAGAGCGCAAATAGTAATGAATATTCGATAGATGTTGATCAGAATGATGTTAATCCATCCAAGACACAAAATAAAGATGAATATATTACTTTAAATAGGGATAAGGAACTTGAAAATAAAAAAGAAAATGAAAATGATATTTTAGATTTAAGTGAATATGAAACGATTTCAACGATGGTTACAGATGTTCGCAGCAGCACATCTAAAGGGGATCAGAGAATAATTGAAAATTTAGAAAAACGAAATGTACTAGTAGATGATCAAGTTTTCTCCGAAAGTAATAATGATAGTGAAATTATACCATCTCCGACTTTATTGTTACAAACATCTTATACAACTTTTACATACTTTACTACAATGTACCATGGAACAACATCTAGTGATATTGCCAGCAGATTAGAAACTGTAACTAATGTAGTTACTACGACTCTAACACCAACACAAGTTTTACAAACGGAGGATGCTAGCCTTCCTGTAACTTATTATACTACATTTACGTATTGGACGACGTTCTATAAAGAAGGTCAAACTAAAGTTACTAGTCGTGAGGAAACTATCTCTAATATTGTTACTCCCGATTTCAAATCTACTGAAGCACCAGAAGCTATTATCCCATTAACCACTTCCACAATAGAGCAAACAATTAGCCCTACTGCCACGTTGGATCAAACTACCAGTCAAACTGAAACTGCCAAAAGTATTATTCCTTCTTCTGTTGGTGAAGATGAATTAACGACTTTCTTTACTACTTATACTTATTACACTACTTCTTATATCGGCGATGAAACTATTTTGAATAGCAGGTTAGAAACTGTAACAAATGTCTTAAATAATACCGAAGATACTCATGAAAATCAAATAGGGAGCGATAAAGGAGCGGATAAAAACTCAGAAGTAAAATCAACTGGGCTGTTGTCCACTATTGTTAATACTATTGAAAATAATGGTACTACTACGGTGATGTCAACTGATGTTTTTGGTACATTCATAGACGGAGTTTATGCTAAAGTATTAGAAAGTACATCGTCTATTCTTTTAAAAAATATTACGCCCAGTGCTACTGTAGACGTAAATATAAAACCTACCGGTATTGTTAGTATTAATCAAGGAAAAATAGTAGATGCTGACGGTGTTAGTACTTTATTTTATACTACTCAAGCTGTAGGTAAATACATTGATGATCTTTATGCTCAGGTCATTGAAAGTACAAGTTCATTAACAGTAAATGAAGAAAGAAAGGCAGCTTTACCGACTGATTTACCAACAGCACACCGTACTGGTTTAGTGAGACGTATTGAAGGAAGCATCATTCAAAATCAAACCACTACGTTATATGAAAGTAAGGTTCTTGGTACTATAATAGACGGGCGATACGCACAAGTCATTGAAAGTACTTCAAGCTTCATATTACCTACAGCTAGTGCCAGCATAAACGAAATCGTTCCTACCCCTACGAAAATTTTAGGTAATGACGCTACTGCTATTGCTATTGCTCCAACTCCAGTAGTACTTGAAGGATCATTAAGCGACTCTGTATCAAAAACTGATGAGAACAGCACTGAAGAGACTGGCGAAGACGAAGAGGATGATGATAAAGGAAAATCGAAGGGCAGACTGGGTTTTCAACCAAAAAAAAATACTTTTACTCCCGCTATTCGTCCATTTGCGCCTCGTCAACGACCACCTTTTGCTCCGCGACGTAACAAGTCCGGAACTACTACTGCGGCCACAATAACGCGTTCTGATTTTACTCCCACCGTTACAGCAGTACCAGCTTCAAAAACTAATCGCTTTGGCGGACGAAGAAGTTCATCTGGAGCAAACCAAGCTATTCAACCGACGGCGTCAGGTGGAAGAAGGTTCTCTAGGCCAAAAACTACAACAACGAATACAGGAGGTCGTAGAAATAGCGCAAGTCAAATTAAGCCAACAGCTACAGGATTTAGAAGAACAGGAAACTCGAGAACATCATCTGTTAGTAGCAATAGATCTAGCTCATTATTTGGTGGAAATTCAAGGTTTAGAATTAGACCTACTGCAGCAGGTGGTTTAAGTCGATCACCAAGTTCCAAAATTGTAACGGAAACACCGCCAGATGGTATTGAAAACGATCTAACTACGGCCGTTACCGATAATCCCACAGATAGTTCAGGAGAAGCCAGCGATACCACTTTACCACTTCAAAGTACTACGGAACAAAGCCGACGAGGAAATAATCCTCTTTTACGTTTTAAGAGACCACCTATTGCTCGGGCCAATCCAGTATCAAGAACTACTACATCCAAATCGACAACAAAATCTGGATTTAAGGCCAACAAGGGTTCAACAACAACCGCTAAACCAAAAACTACATTTGCTAGACCTAATTCAGCACTAAACAGACCAAGGGCCGGAGGTCTGTTTCCTAGAAGAAATCTTTTTACAACTACGACTACACCGGCTCCAGAAGACGAAGCAGAAGAGGAAGGAGATGAAGATCTCGAAGAAGAGGGGGAAGATGGTGATGAGGAAGAAGATACAGATTATGAAAGTTCTCTATTAAACACACAAACTGAAACAGCTCCTACTACTCCTACTTCTAAGGGAGGCCGAGCATATAACGGTGTTCAAATAAGACCATTTAGAAAGAGGGCAAAAAGACAAGCAATTTATTCAAGATTCAGAAGGCCGACAGGAAGAACAACTGCAGCTCCGTCATCTGAGGTCCAACCGTTAGAAGAACCAACATCATCAAAACCCTCTCTTTTTAGAAATAGGTATCAAGCCAATAAATATAAAGCTGGTACAACTTCTGCTCCGCCATCGACAACTAACGCCCCTCCTCAAAGACAAAGAATATCACCTACAAAGCCTTCTTCTGGAAGAACCCAATTTACGTTAAGGGAAAAAGACACTAGTTTAAATAGAAAAACTAACTTTAAAGCAAGAAACAGCATCAGTAGAAGAACAACTACTAGTGCACCTCGAAGCAACAGCCGTTTGAGAAGTGGATTCTTAACGGAATCGTCTGTTAATAGAAAAACTACTGCGAGCAGTAGAAAGGGTAGCAGAACGAGAGGAAGCACACGCAGACCCAATAATCGTAGAGGATATCAAAACGATCAACAGATTGACGATAACTTCGTTATTCCAAAATTTGATGGTACAGTTACAGTGACTTATCAAATTCCAATTGAAACAACGATTTCTCTAATAAACGGTAAAGTGACCGAGTATCAAAACATAGTAAGCGCTAAACAAAGCACACAAGTCCTTAATCCAAAACAGTACTCAACATCTGTTAATCCATTTGGAAAAGAAATTAAAGTTCTGTTAAGTGAAAATACAGCAGTTGGAAATAATGGCGCTACCTTAGTTACTCAATTTGTTCTGAACGAAACACCAACTACAAGTGTCACTTTCACCCCAACGACAATTGGAGGTCGTAAAACATCATTTTCGCATGTTGTTCCCAGTACAGTATACCAAGTTGAGGAAGTTGTTAATACGATACAGCCGGCTTTAGCCGCTCAAGCTCCTCTAGCGAACATTTTATTATCACAGCTACTTTTAGGTGGTGCTTTACCTCAAAATCCATTGTTAGGTTTACCAAACAATCCTGGAGTACCTGCTGTTTCTGCCACACCAACAACTGAGTACAAAACTAGAACTAGTACTCGAGTAACTACTGTAACTAGTACGATTGAAACTATTCTTCCTCTTACTTTCAGGGGCAAGGAGATATTAACTACTATTTTTGATAGTACTTCACAAGTTATAACTGCAATAGATTACTTTACCGATACGGTAGTAGTTACACCAACCTTACCAGTCTTTGGACAAGCACCGCAGCTAAACACGCTTATATTACCACTTCTTCAACAACAACTTCAACAGCAACAGCAAGCCAATCAACTACTGCAGAATCAAGCTTTGTTGTCACAAACACCTGCCGGTGTATTTAACTTAAATGAAGCACAACAGGTGTTAATAGAAGATGCAAATCAGGACCTAGATTTGCCTGTAGAAGAAGAGGAGCCTCTTCAAAATGAAGCTGTTGAAGTTACCAGTCGTGCACCTAAAAGAAGTAAAAAAAATAAAAATAAATCGTCACCGTCACGGGTAAAACCACCGAAAGAAACTAGTGTAATAACATTGTACGTGTCAGGTCGAACGCCGGGAGATTTTACCACTGTTTTATCGACAGTTACTGTTGGAGAAGAAAATAGACGAAAAAGAGAAACATCTTATATTCCCGTACGACCTTCTAAAAGTTTTGATGATAAACTTATTAGTACCGTAGAGCCTTTTGATCAATTTGTTCAACCAGCTACCAAAGAAGTTAATATAGAAGAATCAGATGCAACAACGAAAGAAACAGAAAGCTTAGAAAGCATAATTGGCGATGTTCCTAAACATTTTAGAACTAAAACCCCAAGTCATTTACTTCACAAAGCTTCCAAAGCTACCAAAAAATATACCTTGAAGTATGTTAAAGCGTCAGATAATAAAGACTTCAAAAAAGTTAAGTCTGACGGTGATTTTTTAGCGTAAGTGACCTTAGCAGTATCACTGCCCCTGATGATGCCAAGGTCGAAACGTTCACATTGAAACCTAGGGGCCTTTTAAGTGTGCAAGAGGAAGTTAACAATACTAACAAAAATTATTACGTTTCGAATAAATTTGGCAATAATATTATAATTAATACAACTAATGATGATGTAAATATAGTTAAGAATAGAAGAAAAAGAAATTTAAATGTAGAAATCCAAAATAATAATAGTAAAAAGGGTAACAATAAGAGAAGAAGAGTTGTTAAGAAACTCATTAGAAAAAAACCTGTATTATTAAATGATGAACTGACTCATAAACAAAACAATACTACACAAACAAAAGGTTTAAAGAAAAGGCGACGAAAAGTTAAAATAAAAAAGAAAAAACGACTTTTAGTGCCTAAAGAGGAGATACAACAGAGTACAAATTATTTAAACGGCTTAGAGGAACACGGTCAACAAGCTACCAAACCTAGAAGAAAAATTGTTATAACGCGTAAACGAATACTACCAAATAAAAGCAAATTACTTAATATACCATCGGTAGAAATAAGTCCAACGGCAGAATTATTAAATACACAAATGGTAATGCAGAATACTTATTTAGATGTGCAGATCGATAAAAATATAAATAATATTCAGATAAACGAATCTCGTCCGGGAAAAGACATATTATCATATGAAAAACATAATGACAATAATGAACAAGGTACGATTGATGATATTGAAGAATATGACGAAGACGATGAGAACGAAGACGAGGAAACTGAGGAAGAGGATGAATTTGAAAATGAGGAATTTGATAATGAAGACGTTGAAGATAATGAAGAAGATGTTAGCGATGACGAACACACAAATGAATATAGCGAAAATGAAGAAAACATAGAAAATTCTGAACATGTCGATGAAAAAAATAACGACAATAGTAGAGTAAACGATAACGAGGAATCAACTCCATCATTCCAGTCTCTTCCGGAATATGAGCCCTTTTTCCCAGAATTTTCACAATCTATTCACGCTCCCATCCTTCCTTTTAAAACGACCGTTTTATCTACTGTCGAGTACCTAACTAAAACGGTAAATGCTACAATATTGCGTACTTACACTTTTGTTGTAACCCGTGTGGCAGGCGACCAGGAGACCGTCACTTCGACTACAGAAGTACGACCACAAATAAAAACTACGACAGTTACTGAATCCGCCACCAGTTTTACTACTCTAACATTACTAGATTTGGACAATATGGACAAAGTTACTGATGTACAGCCAACTTCTCTTCCCAATCTGGAATATAATCCTTCTTCCTTATCGGTATCTAACTCCGAAGGTGAGTGCTTCTCTCTTTGTATATCGACAGTTTTTTTTGTATCATGTAGATCAATAGTTGTATTTTTGTAAATACCAGTTCTCAGATAAAACTATATTTTTAAATTTATTTTATTAACATTTAATACTTTCTTAGAATTAAATGCAAATCCAAAAGAAGAAGCAAGGAATTTAGCTACAAGAGTTATGTCCAACGGGGTCGAAGTAATTGTAGCTGGAGACAAAACAACTTATCCAGGAGATAAGGAGTTTAAACGTGTACAATCCGGTATTCAAAAGCCAGTTACGTTAAAACCTAGTACTTTATCTGATCATATGATGTTAACGTTACCTCAAGAAACTTACATTGTAAGTTACAAGTTTGAAATTAATATAAATTTTAAAAGCCTGTTTTATTTTTCAGACAGAAAAACCGATGAATGAATTAGATCCAAATCAATTTGTAGTCAAGACATGTCTTACAACTTTTACCTATTTAACCACCTATCTTGAAAAAGGTACTACGACAGTATCTAGTCATGAACAGGTTATTTCTAATGTAGCTACAGAGGAAAGAATGAACACTGGAAAAATACTTCCAACTCCGGCAGTAGGAATAACTTTAACTCAGGTATTCAATAAATATGTAAGTTAAAACGTTAATTCTATTTCAATATTTTAAATTTGCAGTATCCGAACTTGTCTGTAGGCGTTTTTCACACTACATATACCTATCTTAACACGATTCTTGATGGGGAACAACCACTAGTAATATCATCGCAGCATGTTGTATCTAACACCGTAACTGCTCCCGATGACTATCTTTCATTATTAAGGCCTTCACAAACTACCAAACCTGTTAAAGATACAAATACGTACTTTAGTACTATCAACTTAGAAAAAACCTTATATGAAGATGGCAAAGAAAGTGTAATTAGCACTAAAGAAGTTGTAACACAAGTGGTTATTACGGAGAGTATACCTCCTAGAGATAGACCTGTTATGACGTCGTATATAGCGTTGGATAGTATGAAACATCTCGAGAATAGATTAGTAGAGCCTACAAAAACCAACGAAGAAACTACTGACGTAACCAAAACATATTTCGTTACTTATACATATTACAATACCGTTTTGGAGAATGGGACACCTACAATATATACGAATATTTCTACAGAGAGTGACGTAGTTACAGAAAAAGTTCCATTGCTTACCAAAAAAGCCACTAATACAAAAGTAACAGATGAAAAAGATGATAAAAGTTCCCAAAGTATACTACAAACTGATGCTAAATTTAATATTTTAGCGACGAAAGTTTATTATACAACTTTTACGTATTTAACGACATTATTGAAGGAAAAAGATCCGAAATCAACTATTATTAATTCTAGCACAAAAATTGAAGAAAATATAGTAACAGAAACTTTGAATCCAAGCTTGTTTAATTCTGATTATATTTCTTCTTTAGCAAATGACATTAACAAAAGCTCTGATACTATTAAGAGGGTTGGAACGTTACTCAACGGTCAAGTTATCGATATAACTTTAGTGCCAAACCCGCATTATATAGAGATCAAACCAACTCAGGTTCTACCTATAGAGAAAACAAGTTTACCGTCACTAGAGGCCAGTATCGAAACAACAACAAATGCTGTATTAGAAGGGACTTTCAGTAATTCTAAACCTAATATTATAACAGGTTCTACTATTGTATTTATAGACGATGATCCTTTTGCTAATTTGCTACCAACTCCAAGTTTAAGTAGTACTTCAACATGGAGTACAGGAGCAAGCAGTTCATCGCAGATAGTAAAGGAAACGAAAGTGGATGTAGTAACAAGTAAAGTAAAACGCCCTGGACATAAAACTAAAAATAAAAATAAAGTGAATCCCTCTAAAGCAACCGCAGCAAATATCCAATTCAGTAGTGTTAATAAAAATACGAATAAGAAGACTGATAAGAATGATAAAAATAAAAAACAAACACCTGGGAAAACACCAGGCACGAAACAACCAGCGACGCCTCCGCAAGATTTACTCGGATTAGGTTCAATTAACATTCCAAATACATTGGAAGCTTTAACGCCTGTACTGAGCGCTATGGCGGGATATATAAACCAAAATTTAAAGAGTACAAGACGAAATGATGTGAATACTACGATAACTCAAGGAAAAAATCCTCTGGGTCCTCAAGTAATCGAGGCTTTACCGCAGAATCAACAAGAAATAAAACATCCCGGCCAGGACGGACCAAATCGTTCTCCTGTGTATATTCCAGTTGGTGGTGCTGTAGGGGATGATTTTGAAATTGCTGAAAGTCAAAACATTGCTACATTTGAATGGAATGATTCAGTAAGGCCTGAGACGTTAAGTAAGTAATTTTACTTTTTGAGTAATTAAATGATGCACTTTTATATCACATTAGGGGAAAAACCTAATAGGTTAATCCCTAAATGGGAACTATCATTTATATAAATATTGATTAAATTGATTTTGATATATTTAAACCTAATTCAAAACATTTAAGAAAAAAATATACTATCTGAATTATATTTTATGTGTACAGAGTGTCCCATTTTCGGGGGTTTCTCGTTTATGAGTAGAGATACAAAGTTACGGTTTTCACATCACTATGTTATTTTTTTATGAAACTAAAGATGATACACACAGATTCTCCATTTTACTTCAGATTCTACACACAGATCTTAGTTCCTGTAATAGAGGGCGAATTTGAAAATTTTGCATTTTTCGACTCGCCTCGTATCTCGGATCCCATAACTTATCGAAAAGGTCAAAATTGAGTTTCGTATAGTTTTTCACGTAGACTCCAGTGGTATAATTAGTTTTTCGCTGAGAGCTGTCATTTTTGAAATATGACTCAAACAAACGAAAATTTTTATTTTTTTTATTTTGTCTTATTACGAGTTTTCTAGAAATATATTAAACTCTATTTTTATTTTCATAAAAATGAGAAGACCAAAAATTCAACCTAGTTAAAAAGAGTATTATTTTTTTTTATTTAATTTAACCAGATAATTTTGCATTCGTTTTTTCTTAATAAACTGCACCGAAAATGAAGCACCGAAATGAGCAGATTTTAGGTAATCATTTTTTTCAGAGTTATTGATATTTGTGATGTGCTTGTGCAATAATTTACCTTAATTTTAATTTACATTAATTCTTTTTTTTATTTATTGTGTTTTTAATTTTATTGTTTTTATAATTCAAATTATTTTTATTAATTTTTATTTTAATTTTTTAATAATTTTTTTTGCAAAGAAACTACCTATTTGGAACCGGCCGCATATATATTAGAAAGTTAAATAATGCATTTTTTACCGTGTCTATACGGACTCAGTTTTCAGCTTTTCGATAAGTTATAAGATATCCGAGATATGGAGGTGATCGAAAAATGCAATATTTTCAATTCCTCCTTGTATTTCAGTAACTAAGACGGCTAGGACAAATCTGTGTATAGCATCTTTAGTTTCATAAAAAAAATAGCACAGTGATGTGAAAACCGCATCTTTGTTGCTCTACTAAACCCTAAACCCTGCAAAACACACGAAAATGGGACACCCTGTACACATGTACACATATTTTTTCTCTATAATAATTGTGTCAAATTTGAGAATTTCATATAATTATGTCAAGTTTGAGAATTGCATAGAGAGTTCTGATCAATGATTAAAGAATACAAGGACTAATAACACCCGAGACCAAATTGTTACCATACCTCCAAACAGTGCCGTGGCACATATTTTTCTTAACACAACTGCTTGAAGAGATATTTATATTTTTGATAAATGTTTTGACTATGTCTATGGTGTATGCGGTGGTATTATACTAATTAACTACGAAAAATACGTATTAAAATGTCAACAAAACGTACAAAACTAGTAGCGACGTATAGCACATATCAAGTACATATAATATCAGAAAAATAATTATCGAATTCAATAAAAAACGCTAAAAAGGTGGAGTAGACTGTCTATTTACCTATGATACGTAACTCCTGGCTCTTTCTTATCGCTGTGGCTTTTATACTTGAAAGCTGAACAACTAATCGCCATTATAATAAAGTTTATACAAAATTCACTACAAACAAACTATTAAAAATGACTATAATTATCGCTGATGACCAGTTGATGACTTATTCGTTACCTCCAAAAAAATGGCGTCTAACATCACAAGTTCTGCTGCAGCCCGTATATGGGCACTACTTGTCCTTGTATTCTTTAGCCATTGGTTCTGATCAAAATCTGTCTGACATATGAAACTTAAATTTATTTTCTTTCCAGGTAAGTTAAAACATGAAGCACCTTTGTTAAATGACGGTATTCCTATTAGTCCAGGAGATATCATTACAGCAAATTCCGACGTTATAGTGGGCAAACCTGGACGAGTTGGTCCACGCCTTCCGTCGACCATTCCTATCCATAACGAAGAAAACAATATTCCCCTCGGAATGAAACCTCCTCCTCTGCCACAAAAAAATTCCTGGAACTCTCAAAATAACTTATTAAAACATAGACCTCAAGGCTCCTTAATAAAAGATAATATAGCGAGTCAAGCAAATATAGTACATGTGCCGAACAAAGAGACTCCGCCTTTCCAAAAACAATCTTTAGAAAAATTCAAAGGTGATAAAAGGAAACATATACCGTTAGATTCTTTCAATAGAGGTCAAATTCTCTCCCATCAGTCAAATAATTACCAATCGGGTAACCGTTACAAGCAAAATCAGCAAGCATTTTCCGAGAGCCAACGTGTTCAAGATTTCTTTATATCGGGAGGAAAAAACACTAGAAATAATTTTGCAGGGGGGAGCCATGCAGTATATGCTGCACAATATAGCGGCGAAACGCCACCTCCATATCTAGCAAATCAAAATGCAGCATCTTATGTTCCACCAGAGAAGATTCCTACACCTAGTTTGCAAGAAACTATATATAAAAATTACCACATAGACACTCAAAATCAAAACTCTTATCCTCCAATATATGCCGCACAACAAAAACCAGTTATTATATCATCTATTCCGCTGGTACTACCCGAGGTAATCGAACGAAGTACCGGACAACCCCTTTTGGTACAACTACAACCATCTCAAGTAGCTTTTGTAAATATCCCTTTCAATCGAACGACAGCATTAATTTATGGTGGATCAACGGAGATACATCCCAACGGACAGTATTTTGATGACCCTAGTCCATATCCAGAGCCGGAGTTTTCTGGCATCGAAAATTTTAAAAATGGTGTTCCACAATTAGCCTCTATTTATCACAATACTCCACCATTCGATGGAATCAGCCAAAAACAAGTATCTGGTGTTATAAAAGTCGGCGCATCAAATGATCACATTGTCAAGCAGGAACCTGACACCAGTGAAAATCAAAAAGTGCACGTAAACATAATTCCGACAAAACCTAAAGAAGTTTTACTTCACCACGTTGGAAACGCAAACATAGATGTTCAGCCTCCTCCATTATCTTTTGGACTTACAAAGCAACATGGTGACTTAAATGCTCATATTATAAATCACGGAACTGCAACTGTACCAGTACCGTCCGTTCCTATTGTAATTCGTAATAAAACTAATATAAATTACAATCAAGAATATCTAGATCCAAACTATTTCCCAGAACAAAAACCACAAGAGAAACCAAATCTGTTTAATGCAGAAAATAACTTTGAAAATGTAGCATTGACAGGTGAACAATTGCCTCCAGCAATCAAGCCTAATGCTCATCCCGTTAACAACGTTCAAGTACACCCTCCGTCAACGTACTATCCGAAAATACAATCATTTCCAAAAGAACCCTCGACAGATATGGTACCTCCTGTATACCATAAAACAAAACCAATATTACAACAGAAACCAAACAGACCAAATAAAGTGAAATATTCCCAGCCACCTAAACGCATCTTGCCACGACCACGACCTAGACCGAACACGCAAATTTCAGAATTTATAACACCTCCTGCTAATAAGCATCTATTGCCAAATAAACAATTTGACAATAGATATGTACCTGGAAAGAGTCCATTACCAATACCTCTCGGTCCAGTTACTACAGCAGTTTTTAATAACAACATAGGATCGGCAAATAATTTCAATCCTCCCTCAGTTCAAAATTACTCACCACAACAAAGTAACAAACACGAAGGAAATCCGGTAAATTTGAATAAATACCATACTGAAAATATTTACAAGGAAATAATGGAAAACGAGAATGGCGATGTCGATTCTTCGGATGATCATCTAGAAGATGATTCTCCAAATGAATACGGTGAGGTGGTTCAAGAATCAAATCCTCGGCCGTTGAAACCAGGAGAAATTCCTATCGAGCTATTAAGGAAAAAAGAATCAAGTAGTACCACGGAAAAATCTAACGATTTTGTAAGGTTCCCAGACTCTAAACAAAATAATTCAATTGTTAGATTTCCGTATGATCATAATCAGTTTTCTCAGTTCGATCTTAGCAATACAAATATTAAACAAACTGAAAATTCATATGAAAATCCTAAAATTCAATTTGACGTGCCAAAAATACACGAACATAAACCCATACAACCACCAGAAGAAGCGTCCTATTATAATATAATCAATAGACCATTCAATACCAAAATTCCGCAATATGTAACATCAACAACCGCAACTATTCCATTCGGCGAATTCGAGAATAATCAGCAAACTGAAGAAAACTCGTTAGTTATTAATAATATTCCAACCATTTCCAGAGTTGAATCCACTACAAAAACTACTCCTGTTAAGCAAAAGATCCAGACATCCTCCCAAAAACCGGTTTTAATTTTCATCGATGAAAATGGATCAACAAAGGATGGATTCTTTAATAGGAGACCCACGGAAAGCAGTAGGCCAAAAGTAACGTCTTTGCCAATAGATACTCACACTCCTAATTCGCCTATAGTTGTAACAGTCCCGATTTTCAGCAATGATAAACCGTATTCTCAAACAGAACGACCGTTTGATAGTTCTAAATACTCAGGGAACCAACCAACTAATGAGGTGAATATTATGACTCCAGCTGAGGATTCTATTGAAATTAAATTGTCAACAACCGAAAGGACTATCGTGTCTAATATAACTATACCAACAGTTGATAAACTATCTGAAATGCCAATAGCTGGATTAAATAGTGGCGAGACGTTGGCAATTGACCTAGCAAATTTAACTCAAGAAATAAATAATATGGAAATATTACAGCCACCTCCACCAATAGAAGATATATTATTAAATATACCAAGTCCAGTTATGAAACCACCCAGGATTAACGTTAATTCTCCAGGGCATGATATAGTGCGTGTTCCAAATATACATCAATATAATCCTGACGTCGATGTAGGTGTAAGCACTTTAAAACCACTAGTACCAGCTCCAGTAGAAGAAATGCTTCCACCCCCTCCTGGGCAAATACCGGTTCGTTCAGAGATCTCTATACCAACGACGGAAGTGGTACTGGGAATGTCTCCGCCCCCTTTGATAACAACTCGCAATCCTATAAATAACGTTATTTCTGTGCATCATGGCACTTCTATAAAACAACCTACTATTACCACCGTTACCACGCAAAAATACGATCGGCCTACAAGACCTAGAATACCAGGGTATCGTAGACCAGGTCATAGAAGAACAACGACGGCAACTACTCCGTTCAGTAGCCCATCGACCACACACAGAATAACTACTTATAAGGGACACTTTAAAAGACCTACTGGTATTCTACAGCCTGTAAAAATACCTTCCGGGCAAAATAAATTTAATAAAAATTTTACTGAAAAAAATACTCTACCTGAAGATAACTTAAATGCAGCGTCAAATGGTGCTGGTAATATAATTACACCTACACCAACTATTAAATCCAAACCATCACTGGACGTTATTATAGGGCATCCAAACATGGGCGATGTAGAAAAGCAATCCGTCAAACAAAAAACTAAACACGTCGTGGAAAAAGTAACTAGTGATTTGCCTGAAAAGACTAGTACAACTCAACCTACTCCCGAGTTGATAACTGTTCCGCAAGATCTAAATGATATCATAACAAAACCAGTCCACCACGCAGGCAATGAAGTAAAAATAGTTGACGGTGACAGTGTATCCAAAAAGCACCAACCAAGTCAGGTGAAAGAATCGCGGCCTACCATTGTTCCTACCCGATACATTACCCATACCAAGACTCATACTGTCACAATAACAAAGACAACCGTAGTAAAGACACTTGGTGGTCCGCCAAGTACGCTGACCATACTGGTAACAAAAACTGAAAAGAGTTACATTATAGATACTGTGACGGAGATTCATACTTTGGTAAAACCGACTAGCATAGTGGAAACTGTCACTACTACCATACAAAGAGATCACTCTCTATATTCACCCGAAGTATATCAGAGCAAGTATCCAAAGATACACATGAGACCTGGTTTGAAACCGATTAACAACAAACCAGACGTCGTGACACAGATAAGTAGTAGCTTCGATGATAAAGGGGACAATGAAAATGAGGATTCTTTAGAAGACTTTATTATAAAAGATGCAGATGATATTGGGTAAGCATTGATTTGTTATTTTGTTTTATACGTATATGTTACGGCTAAAGCGTTCCCTTGGCTAGTTTATAGCTTTTTTGAAAAGCATATTTATCAAATCTATCTAAATATCTCATTTATTTTGATAAAAATAAAATTTCAACTAAAATAGCTACAAATGTTTGTTCAATTATATATTTCCAGCTAGTTTACAACCAATACAAAATTTATCACAAAGTATGAACCATTATACAAAAAATGAATCGTTTTTTTTTGGCTAGTTTACATAATCATATTTTATACATTTGTGACTGACAGTGGCTAAATATACAGTAATTTTCCAGAAATGAACAAGCCACAAAAGGATAGATATTATTTTCTTGCGTTGGATTGTATAAATAGTTTGATAGATAGTATACAAACCAACCAATATTCCTATCTATTTTAGATAAATCATAATATTCAATCCTAATAATAAGACATTCAGATATTAATAATTTCTCATAAAGCTATAAATTATCCAGTTTAAGGGTAAATACCGGGTGCGTCTTAAAAGTGGCTCACCCCTATAACTTTTTTATTTTATCAGTTAAAAAAACGAGATTTGGTATGTTAGTATATGACATAAATTAGGATTGATTTACGTATTCAATTGTTTTTGGTCACTTCCTGTTTCACCGAAAATGACTACAACTTTTGATTTTGAAATGGTACCATCGGTATTTTTTTACTTTATTCGATAGAAAATGGCATTCTGAATAGAATGACATGTCATATGTAAACTTTTGACATTCTCGCTTATTAAAAAATCGTATTTTAAATTTCAATCTAAAGTGCCATGGCTATGTTAGAAACATTAATTCTTAATCGAGGAGCCTTGGAAAAATAGATTTGATCGTCTAATGTTTTAGTGTCTCGTCCTGGCCGGTTAAAAGATGGCCAATTCGTATTTTTAATCATAACTCAATTTTTTCAAATGGAACGAGGGTGGCTCATTAGTATATTTGGAAAAAGCATTTTTTTACGAATGATTTGATACCACACACTTGGTATTTCGAGTCAAATTTTCGTTATGAACCGTAAGTTATAATTTCAAATAAGCCGTATGCGAAAATGTCAAAAGCTGACATATGATATGTCATTCTATTCAGAGTGTTATTTTCTATCGAATAAAGTAAAAAAAAATATGTGTGTGAAAACATTTGAACACGTCCTTCATCCTAATTTTTGTCGTTTTACTATCATACCAAATCTCGTTTTTTACCCCTAACCAAACCAAACAGAAAAAATAAAAAGTTATAGGGGTGAGCCACTTTTGAGACGCACCCGGTATATACTTTTTCATTATAGAATATTTTATGCTATTTATGATTATGTCCTCTACACAGTCCTTTTGAGCCTCATAGTGTATCCAACAGTTTTTGCGTCCATGAACTCTAGATTTCTACTAAAATGTAGAATGAGTGGGAGGGGGGTTAATCACTGCGAACCTAAAAGATCTATTGTGTTCCCCTTTCTTGAATTATAACTCATCATCATACAGTCTATAACTCATCATACATGGGGATTTGCCTGTTGTAGGGGGGGGGGCAAGGTATTTCCCATCCTCTTCTGACAACAGATGTTCTTCCTCTGAGGAACAGATGTTCTACCTCCTACGGGGATACACGCTTCCACGGTGGGGGTTTGGCTCTCCGTGCCCTTCACAGTCGAGGAACTTGTCTCCGGCTGAGGTACCATTTATACACAGTGCACCCAGGCCGAGTATATGAAACGGTAGCTTGTGTAGCCTGTTGGTCTAGAGATAGGCTCCCGACCCTTACTAGATGAGGTGGTAGCTTGTGTGCCACTTGTGGAGGCTGGTCTCGCGTAAGTATCGGCTGTCTTTCCTGTAGTTCCCTTTGGGGTTGGTCCCTTGGAACTTGCACCGTTAATCTTCACAGTGTTGTTAGGGGGTTTTCCTCTAGCTTCACCCTAAGAGTTAGTCGCTCCACTTCTTCAGCGCCTCGCATGTAGAAGTAAGGGAGACGAGAATACAATGGAATGTTCCAAGATTTCTACTGAGCATACTATTGATTCTTTTAGAGTATTTTTGCCTCTCCTAAGTATGTCTGCTTGTGTCCAGTATCAAAAATACATATTGGTGTTTCAACCACCGCTTGGCCATCTTTTATAAATTAATTCTGTTTTTAGTTTCATTCTGTTCGGGTAATTTTGGAAACGTACGTATCATATTGGTAGTCCTGGTGCGTTTTCTATTATCTTTTGCAGTTTATCCGCACTTCGCTACTGAATTTAAGCTACTTGAAGTGATATGCTTGGACCTGATCTCTAGTAACTCTTATGTTTTTTTTCGACTAGCGTTTTTATTATTACTCTAGTGATTATAACTTCTTTCGAGTGAATATAAGAGCCACCTCTAGATGTTGTTTTTTAAATAAATAAGTTCGTTGTCCTTTAGTCGTTGTTCTTTAGAAACGAACATTTTCATTGCATACAGAAGTCAGTTGTGACCTATATACTTTCTCACGACCAGCTATACCAATTATAGGGTAAATTTTATTAACCAGTATTTTATTAACAAACGTCCAGTGTAACAACTGGGTTTGTAACAACATATCCTTTATACCTCTTCTCTTCTAATACCTCCTATTTATTTAATTTGCAGTCAACAATCCTCCCACAAGAACCAATACAACGACAACGATTCTATTTTCGTTGTAATGACAGACAAGAACAAAGGCGGTATAATCAAAATACCTCCGGCCAGTTCCGAAGAAAATTCTTCACAAGACCAATCCAACGACGGACCTCCACATCGGGATGAAATCACCGAAAATGAAGCAAACAATATACTGTTGGGCGGAATTCTAATAGCCAATCGACCGGAAGTGAACTCGCCCGATGTAGATGTCAAAAACAAAGATCGATGCAGTCCGGAATGCAAGGCGAGCAGAAACGAATTGTGCCAACGGATAGGAGGCACAATGCGGTGCGTTTGTAGACCAGGATTCGCACGAATGTTCCCCGATAGACCTTGTAACCGTAAGTTAATTATCATAAAGGCGGAGATTGACTTGAGCTGAAGGTTGTAATGTATCTCACGATTCGTATCATCCATGTCCGATCATCCATGTCCGATCAGCACAAACGCAAGCACTACATTACAATGTAGACGCCGTTGCTTGCGAGCCGAAAGATCTTGAGAAACACGACAAACAGGAAGCCCAAGCAACGCAAGTACAACCATAAGCGCCTTTACAGTACAAATCAGTATAGGTTCGGCGAACGTCCGTATTCCAATCATATTTCTGGTAGATGCAGTAGCTTCAATTGTGGTTAAATCTCTGTTAATAGGCGGTGTAAGAAATATAATAAATAGCTCAAATTTGAATAAAGGTGCCACTCCCAATTTTTAGATCGGATAATTATTGAAGGTTGAGAAAATACTAGAGTGCAGCGAACCGAGCATTTGAAACGATATTTTCACGTTTCGACTCCGCGAGCAGCGAACAAGTTAGTTCCTTAGTGCACGGGCTTTCCGATGGCCGGCTTATCTCACAGCAGGTCTTATTGCTTTGTGTACCTACGCCATTAAAGCAGGTTGGTCATTAACAACTTCTTGTAGGAAGCGGGAATGTCATTTGGCATCATGGATCTATCCCGTGGGGACATATTGTGTCTTTTTATTAGCTATTAATAATGTTAATACTAAGCGGATACAAAAAAATACTACTCGCCTTCATAAAAGTCTCTCTTATTTTGAATTTGATAAATATCATACGTTACATCCACAACTCACAGCTCACCATCAAAAATCTTACGATTAATCTTAATATTTCCACATGGAGAATGAAACGTTGAAGTAATTATACAGGGTATTTCAAAAAACATGTGCAATCTCTCGTGGGGAGATTCCTCACGTAAAATTAAAATTTATTTTTCATATCAACATAGGTCCGATTCTGCTTTCTTTATTAGCTACAGGGTGTTAAAGTCTTAATATTCTTTCGATTTATTATAATTTTCTTCCAAGTACTTTTAGTGATTCAAATGAAATTTTGAGGGTAAAAATTACTATAAGTGCTACATATTTTAACACTAAAAAAGTTTCGATAAACTCATCGGGGACGTGCATATGGGTTATCACTGGAATATTTTTTAACAAAAATACATGTGCGCCACTGACTTTTTCTTTTGATATCAAAATTGTGTAGGCCGTTTAATGCCAATTAAAAGTTAGCTCTTAGTATTTTGTTGAATTCGGCCTCCGTGATGAGACAAGTGCAATTTTATTAATCGCAATTAATAAAATAAAAATAAAAATAAAATTAATAAATTATATATTTTACCTAATTTATTATTAAATATTATTACTATTACTTATTATTACTAGTAGTCCAACCAACAGCAATTTCAAATAAAAAAATAATGGTATTTAAGAAAATTACAAAAGACCTAATTTTAAAAAATTTTAACATCCTGTAACTCTAAAAATATGCATTTCCATACCCATGTTTATAGGAACTTTTTTTCATATTTTTTGATGAGGAATCAATGAGTAGGTACTTATTTAGAACTTTCGCAAATTAATGATATTATTTTTTTTAAAGGTTGCTATTATACATATATTGACTTGGATCAAGGCAAATTAATAAAATTGCATTTATCTCATCAAGGAGACCGAAATCGACAAAATATCAAGAGACAACTTTTAATCAGCATTAAACTGCTTACATTATAACACGATAAAAATGAAGTCAGTGGCGTACATGCTTTTTTTAGAAAAATATTACAGTGATAACCCATATGCACGCCCCTGGTAAATATGTCGATTTTTTTTAGTATTAAAATATGTCGCATTTATAGTAACTTTAACCCTCAAAATTTTATTCGAAACGGTAAAAGTACTTGGCAGAATATTATCATAAATCGAAAAAATATTAAGACTTTAACACACTGTAGCTACGAAACAAAGCAGAATCGGACTTATGTTGATTTGAAAAATAAATCTTATTTTTAAGTGAGGAATTTCCAACGAAATTGAAAACCGTGCTGCAAAAAAAATTCTACAATTTTAAAAATATATAGAAGTATTAAGTAAATAGTTTGAATTGTACTAAAGCATAACCTTTATTGGAAGTTTAAAAATGAGCCGAGCAGAGTGGATTAAGTTTGTGGAAGCGATGGAGTTAAATTGCTTTCAAAAGGGGTAGCTGTGATAAATCTGTTGAGCGGATAAAGCGGGCAAGCGACAAAAAGAAAGAAATAATTTCGTTAAAAGCGGGTAAATGCAGTTTAAACTTTAATTCTCACTATACCTTCCGTTTCCATACCATATCTATTCAATATCCGTTTCGTATATTTTATTGTATTGGCGCTATACGTAACCTTCCGTTCCGTATAGTTCCATACTTTTTATTGTACAGGGTGAGTCAACGATAGAGTAAAGTCCATTATCTCATTTGTTTCAAGGTTTACAAAAAAATGTTTAATATAAAAGTTATAGGAATGGTTAAGATACACATTTTAAAATTATTATAGAGTATACAAGGTGCTTCAAAAAAATGTGGCTTCTATAACATATGTTTTTTTAAATGCAACACCCTATTTTTTATTTTATTTTTAGATTCTGCGTAAAATTCCAATACTTTTTTGTATATAATGTTATATACCTAAAATTAATACTTTTTGTAATATTTCAATTTATTTAAACAAATGTTAAATTGCTGTGTGGTAAAAAATTGTCAGTGGTGCCATTGATTCTGAAGTTGGAGTACCAAAATTTGGTAGGAGAGGTTTATAGAGATAAAAAAAATAGATATATGTAAAAATATTTTAGTTAAATGATTCAGGGTGTTCAAAATACATTTGTGAATTTCAACTACTTAAAATTAAAAAATCTCAAATTTTTTAAACGGGACACCCTATATATTATAATTTTTTCTGATAGATTTGACAAAACTCTTCAACTTTTATTAAGTATGTCATATCCCTACTTTTAATAGTTTGCGATTTATTCCCATTTTTTTCTATTTTTACCCATATTTTTAATACAATTACCCTATCAAATCATAGTTGCCATGACAAAACAAAACTATTTATTACTTACCTTTAACAAGTAGCTTCATAATTAGTTACAATTGCTGGTATTAGTTAAAATTAATAACCTTTACTGAAATAAACTAAATCGCAGTAGTGAATTTCTTGGTGTATTTCTATATTATGAAAGATGACACTTGGGATTTTTCGTCGGGGCGAATAGCCACAGATTAGGGTAATACTAGATAAACCTAATTGCTGAAGACTACTGATATATGAATTTTCTTCGACATACAGTAAAGTTTTTTCTCGTAGTAATTCTGGTTTATAATTAATTTGGTAAAGCCAATATTACTACTGCCACGAAACCGTCCCATTATACACTGAAGATGTTTTCTAGATAATATACATCTATCCTTATAGTAGTTAGCAAAGTAGGTACTATATAATATATAGTACTGATCCAAAAAATGTGGTTTTCTAAGCTTGTCCGTGTATATCAATCACATTGACAAATTTCAAGAAAATCTGTAACTATTATCTTTACCATTTATACTTATTACAACAAATTAAACTAAAATTCAAATTTTGTTCTTAACTTGCTTAACAGACATGAAATTGTGATAAATATTACTTTTTGTCATGGCAACTATGATGTTATAGCGCAACTGTATTAAAAATATGGGTAAAAATAGAAAAAATTGGAATAAATCGCAAACTAATAAAAGTAGGTATATGACATTCTTAATAAAAGTTGAAGAGTTTGGTAAAATATATCAGAAAAAATGATAATATATAGGGTGTACCATTTAAAAAAATTGAAATGCCTTAATTTTAAGTAGTTGAAATTTCTAAATATACTTTGAACACCCTGTAACATCTAACTAAAATATCTTTACATAGGTCTTTTTCTATATCTCTATAAAATTCTCCTACCAAATTTTAGTTGTCCAACTTTAGAATCAATGCTAGCTTTGACAATTTTTTAACCCACTGCAATCTAACATTTGTTTAAACAAATGTAAATATAACAAAAACCATTAATTTTAGGTATATAACATTATATATAAAAAAGTTATGGAATTTTACGCAGAATCTAAAAATAAAATAAAAAATAGGGTGTTGCATTTAAAAAAACATGTTATATTCGTCACACTTTTTTGAAGCACCCTGTGTACTGTATAATAATTTTAAAATGTGTATCTTAACCATCTCTATAACTTTTATATTTAATATTTTTTTGTAAACCTCGAAACAAATGAAATAATGGACTTTACTCTATCGTTGACTCACCCTGTACAATTGATATAATCACGAAAGTTTTATTTTAAAAATTTGTATCTTTTGAAAAAGGTAATAGATTTAATTAAGATGTAAAAGAATAAATAAATATCAGCAAAATGTTAACAGAGCTGGTACAAATGTAAGAACTTGGACAACGCTGTTTCCGATACGCTGCAGTCTGTCCGCCAAAAATATGTATGGAAGGAAAGGATATGGAACGGAAGGGAAACAGAACGGATAGTGTGCATTATCCTATTCATTTCCATGATATAATATTTTATGTAAACAGAAGGGAAACTATAGGGAAAATATAGTGAGAATCAACCTTAAGCCGGTCGAAGCTGATTGACTGGCGCACTATGGCCATGCGCATACTGTTGTTCCTCTATTTTTCACCGCTAGTCTGCCGCGATAAAGCGAGAAGTGGAAAGCCGGAAGCCGGTGCACTATGGACGAACCCTTAAATGAGAGCGCTCGGCTCAAGTCATTCTCCGAATTTAATGACTACTTATCGTTATACACTATAATATAATCGCATCCCCTTATTTCAGCCACATATACGTATAGTTTAAACGTTACGATAGATCGAATCGGAAAACACCGACAAAAGTATTCAGAAAAGCTCACCATGGAAAATAGCACTGACTTTATAAATTTGGCCAGAAAAACGCATGAAGCTTTGGACAGGATGGTGATGCAGTCCGATCTTCGGGATATATATCACGGAGTACACGTAATGGCGTTCTATCCAGAAGAGGGTACAGAAGAGGACAAAGTTATTAGTCAGTTTTATCTTCAAGTAAGTGTAAAGATAATTATTGGAGGGTGATATTATTAACCCCATGTCAAACACGACGTTTCTATTTTATTCCTTATCAAGCAAACGTAATTGTTTCATCAGAACTACAATCAATTGTTCTTTTTTTGTTTTTAAATATAACGGTATGTGTTATTAAAGGTTTCGAAACATTTTGTTATTCTAAAAAAGACATGTAACCGATTTGCTGAATTTTTATTTCAGGACAATCGTGCATCTTTGCACGATTTTTGCGTAGAATTGCATAAAAAAAAAGAAATTAAGTAATACTTTAGAACTTTTATCTTAATCTAACACTCAACCCTATCTTTTTGGTATGATCTTCTCGCAACTTCAATATTTCAAATTTATATCTTTTAGACTAGGTATATTAAATTTTTAAATATTAAGTCGGGCTCAAACGGCTCGTGTACTTGGCAAATATTTGTTATTGGGATATACTAGCCATGTTGTGTGAGTAGTTTACATGTGCAATTATTATTTGTCACTTTTTTCGCGTCGTGTGAGCGCCAAGTTTGCCATTGTTTTTTACAAAGATGGTATACTTGCCAAGTACGCAAATATGGATGTACTTGCCAAGTAAAAAAGTCGTTTGAGCACGCCTTTAAACATTTAATTCCAAGCTATGAGGACACTGGATATATTATTGTTTTCATACATTAAAGTATAATTCTAAAGTTTCATTTTAATACTAAAATTATGCGCTTTTGTGATATACAGGGTTGTTTGCCACATACGACACGGAGTATTGTAGCTAAACGATTAGATTTTTGCATATTGTAAGTTTTGGATTCGTTGAAGGACTATTAGAGCTACAATTATTTAAATAAATTTAAAAATATTTTATATATTTTTACAAGATACAGAGTGTCCCAAATAAATAAAAAATATCAAAGTTGTATTTTCTTAAATGGAACACCCTGTATATTCTTACATTTTTTGTTTCTACGATTAAAATAAAGGTAAATTTGATTAAGGTTTACTGCATTTTAATCTTACCGTTTTTGAAATATTTAGGTTTTTGTCAAAATAGATTAATAATTTTAATGCTTTATTTCCTTAGGCGTATTTAAGTGTTTAAAACCAAATATTCTACTGAAGATTTACTAAACAAGATATTTACTAAATCTTGTGTTGCAATAATAAAAAATATACTACCTTATACAGAGTGTCTAAAAAATTATTTTAAATAATTACTAGCTTTAAACGGCAATAACTTGTTTAATTTAAAAGGAATACCCTGTATATCTTATGAGAATCAGATGCACAATTTAATTGTCTATCAAATTGTATTATACCATTTTTACCTATTTATTCACGTTTTTGTAGAAAATGCATTTTCTTATACTTTCGACCTAATTTATCAATATTACAGTTGAGGGTTGGAACCTTTGGTGTTACACAGCAAAATAAAAACACTAAATCACCACAATACACCAAAACACTTTTATTTTTACACTGGACGCGCGTTTCGCTAACCATGTTAGCATCATCAACAGATGATTATAAACTAAATAACAGTTTATAATCATCTGCTGATGATGCTAACATGGTTAGCGAAACGCGCGTCCAGTGTAAAAGTAAAAGTGTTTTGGTGTATTGTGGTGATTTAGTGTTTTTATTTTGCTTTTAATTTATCAATAATAATCAATATACCCATGGAATATTGATATTTTAAATTATTTTTAAAGATGTTACAAATTTTTAAAGAGAACTGATATTAATATTGCAGATATAGTTTGTTTATTTCATTAAAAAAATTAAAAAAACTATTTAAATATTTGTTAAAGGGGGTCAATTGATATGATTCCAGTATTCATACTACATTAATTGACTGTTTGCGTTGATTAATAATAATTGCTCCAAATAATACTAAAAAACTTACTTTTGTATGTGTATTAGACAACGTTAAAGTTACATCTTAAAAATGTTATTTAATTTTTTGACGAATGCTTATTTATAACAACAGAGACGTTCATTTTCATAACGTATTATTATATTGATTTCTGATCCAAATCCACATTTATTTAGAATAATTTATTAACTAACACAATTAAGTATGTAATTAATTAATATTTGGGCGGATATCATGGTGGTATATTTAATTAATGGTATACTTTTTTATAAAGATTTAAATAGCTTTCTTTTTGTAAACTAATGGGCTAGTAATATTATTGTTTTTAGCACCTGTACATTTTGTACATTTGTTGCGTTAAAAACAATCTAAAATGTCAATATTCCATGGGTATATTGATAAATGAGGTCTAAATTATAAGAAAATGCAGTTTCTACGAAAAGTTGAAGGGATAGGTAAAAATGGTAGAATACAATTTGATAGACTTGACTGAATTAAATTCTCATCTGATTATCCTAAAATATACAGGATGTTCCATTTAAATTAAACAAGTTATTGCTGTTTAAAGCTAGAAATTATTTAAAATACATTTTTAGACACTCTGTATGAAGTAGTATTATTTTGATTATTGCAACACAATAACTGTTCTATAAATAAACCTCAGTAAATATTTAGTATTAAAAACTTTGATAACCTTGGAGAAATGAAGCCTTAAAATTTTTAGTGCAATTTGACACAATTGAAAATATCTCAAAAACGGTAAGGTTTAAGTGTGATAAACCTTAATCAAATTTACCTTTATTTTAATCGTAGAAACTAAAAATGTAATAATATACAGGGTGTTCCATTTAAAAAAATACAACTTTGATATTTTTCATTTATTTGGGACCCTCTGTATCTTGTAAAAATATTTTTAAATTGTAGATCTAATAGTCCTTCAATGAACCCAAAACTTAAAATTTGTAAAAATCTGATCGTTTAGCTATAATACCCCGTGTCGTATGTGGTGAACAACCCTGTTATATTTGAGGAGCCTGGGATCATTTATATTCAGTCATTTGAGAAACACTGTTTTTTTATAGTTAAGCTGTTAATTTTCCATTCTCAGACAGGCCCGGATCTGTAGAGTTCAGATACAGTAATTTTTAGTAAAAAATATTTTTAAAAAAACAATAATCCCCTGCATATTTTCCCAAATTATTGTTTTTTTTATTATATTTTTTCTTTTTTGTTTAATGTTGTATAAAAAGTTATATACAGTATGTCCCCGGATTGTCTTTATAAGAGGAAAAACTTTTTTATTATTGACATTTTGAGAAAAATGCATTCTTTATAAAAATATTTGCTTGTTCTAAAATGGTTAATCCTTTTTATATTTTTTAAAATTTCCATGCCGTTTTAGAGAAAATTAAGAAAAACATGAAAATATGGCTGAATTTTTGATGTCCTAAAAATCAAAAGGCGTTTCTATGGTAATATCAATTTGATTTCATTCTTTGCTGTTGTTAAAGTATCATATTTTCCGATAACTATCATCACCCTTTCCGTAGCATTGAACTAAATAAATTTTGTGCTTCTTTAACGTTTTAAAACAACAAAAAATATTATGTTAATTAAAATTCTATGAATAACAATCTTTCAAAGGTTGAAATCGAAGTTATTCTACCATAGAAACGCGGTTTGATTTTTAGGACTTCAGGAAAAAATTCAACAATATTTTTAAGTTTTTCTTAATTTTCTCTAAAACGGTATGGATATTTAGAAAATTATTAACGGGATTAACCATTTGAGATCAAGCAAACATTTTTATGAAGAATGCTTTTTTTCTCAAAATGTCAATAATAAAAAAGTTTTTCCGCTGGTAAAGACAATCCGGGGACATACTGCAGAGAAATGTGAGTTACTTCATAGCATCACATTTGCCTTTTTGTAAAAAAATACTGTAGGAAAAATTCACATTCAATAGCCCCCCATACACCAGAAGATTTGGCCTTCTAATTTAACCTGTGGACTTGGTCTGCGGATAAAAATGTTGTGTTTGTGTGGCTAAGTCTGTGGGAGGTTAATTCACAATTGAAGAGAACATTTGAGACTTGATCTGTCATATTAGATTAGTCTAAAGAAACGAACAAAGGATAAAGTCGGCAGACTTATAACGCTCTTTCTTTCTAAGCGGCGCGGCAGTTTCAATCCCGATAAACATTTATCTATATAAAGAGTACTATAAACCGTCTAATTTTGTTCCAAACGAGCATATTTAATGGGGCAAAAATCTAATCGGCAGACTAAGTCAGCGGGCTAAGTCCGCAGACTAAATCCGGAGGCCAAATCTTCTGTTGTATGGGGGGCCATTGATAACCAGTCTTTGTTGAAGGGCTTCAACCACTTTGGCATTTCACTATTTTCCTAATATTAGTCCAAAGCTACGATAACCTAACCCAAACATATTTACGATAAACATCATTCTTAACATTTTTTTAGCTCTCCGATAATATCGATGAAAACCGTATGGAGGGTATATTTAAGAAGTATTTGAGAAACAACAATTACTCATTAGGAGGCACCGACGTCTTCACATCCGGCGAATCGATAGAACATTTGAAGGCTCGCGATTTTAATGAATGCGATTTTCCTCGCTTCCACGATTGCTCGGACAATGCTCAATGCTTCAATCTTAAAGGAACGTATACATGCTCATGTAGAGAAGGCTTCTCAGGTAAGAAGAATGAAGAAGCAATTATTAGATTGAAATGTAATTGAAACTTCTACTTACAGATTTATCAGAGAACATGCTCTATCCTGGTAGAATGTGCAGCGCTGAGCAGGTTGGTTGCGAACTGTGTAACTACCATGGAACGTGTTATTCCAGAGGTCCGGATGAAATTCTTTGCGAATGTTTCCATTGGTACGCTGGAGAATTCTGTCAAGTTAACCTTAAAGGTATGTGAATATTTTTCAACGATTTATTTTCAATTTAGAACCCTAAATTAATATTTAAATGATCTAATATAATTATTAATTAATTCATAAAGGGCAAATGTATTCATATGTGAATAGATAGTGTATTTCAAAAACAGCGTTCATTATACAGGGTGGTCCGAACTGTATTCCGGAAACTTCGGCAGCAAAATCTGCAGATAAAAACAAGTAAAAAAGTTCGTATAAATATATGTCCTAAAATGCTTAGTTTCGGAGATACAGGGTGTCGAAGTTTCATTTTTATTTCGATTTTTTTCAAATAATTTCTGAAGTGACCTCAATATTTGGATAAAAATTGGTGTCTGGGGTTTTTTTGACACGAGAAATTTGATTTTGATGTCAATATGATTCCTACTAGTAGAGGGCGCCACCTACATATTTTTTAACTGGTTTGTAAAGTAATAGCTTTTCGTCCGTACCTGTATAAAATTATTGAGTAAAAAATATACATTTACGACGTTTTTTACGTGAAAAAGGTCTCTTGGTAAAAATCGCTACGAGTAATGGTTTTCGAGATATTTGGAATCAAAATTCCCAATACCTGTCATCATTGACATAAATTAAACATGTTGACTAAATAGTTATGAGACTGAAATCATAAATTTGAAATGTTTTTGTGCCAAAAGTTCAACCAAAACCTTTTTATCATCATTTTTTGCAGAAAAATTTATGATTAATATAAAAAAATAAAAATTTTCCAAATTTATTATTTCAGTGAAATAACTATCTACTCAACGTGTTTATTTTTCGTAATAATGACATGTATTGTCTATTTCCATTATAAATATCTTAAGAACGGTTGCTCGTAGCGATTTTTACAACGAGATATTTTTTACGTAGAAAGTCACAGAGATAATAATAATATAATTAATAATAACGATAATTTTTTCGCTCGGTAGTTTTATACAGGTACTGACAAAAAGTTATTACGCTTCAAAACAGTTAAAACACATGTAGGTGGCGCTCTCTACTAGTAGGAATCATATTGATACCAAAATCAAATTTCTCATGTCAAAAAACTCCCAGACACCAATTTTCATCCAAATATTGACGTTATTTTAGAAATTATTTAGAAAAAATCGAAATAAAAATGAAACTTCTACACCCTGTATCTCCGAAACTAAGCATTTTAGGACATACATTTATACGAACTTTTTTACTTATTTTTATCTGCAGAATATGCTCCTGAAGTTTTCGGAATACAGTTCGGACCACCCTGTATATTACCTATATAAAATCTTTATACTACCGTTACCTCATGAGGACACGAATGGAGTCTTCCAGATTCTTCAGTTCCGCTTTCAGTTGGTTCCCGCTTGGAAAATAGAATGGTTCTGATCCAGTTAGTGGGGAGTGTTCGCTCATTTCTAGCTAGATCATTTGCTTTTTCATTGCCTTCTATCCCTTGGTGAGCAGGCACCCAGAGTAGGAGGACTTTATTTTCTTTGCCTAATTTGTTGAGCTTCTCTAGGCATTCTGACCAATTTCATTTGCTTCTCATTTTGACCAACTTCGAATTGATGGTTACTGAGTTGATCGCGTTTAGTGCTGCTTGACTATCGGATAGGATGGCAATTTCCTGTTTTCGATAGTTCCTATCTAGGATAAATTGTACGCATCTTTCGATAGCGTAAATTTCTGCCTGAAGGATGCTGGGGTAGGTGCCCATTGGTTCGAAATATTTAGTTTTCGGCCAAACTACTACCACGTTATGGTATAGTCCTTTACATGCTGAGCAAGCGTTTCTTCCTTCCCCCAATCCTTTTTATTGCTCAATACTAAAGTGAGGTGTTCCTCAAAGTTGTAAATTCTTGGTATGTAATCCACTGGGACTTGGAGAAGTGGAATTTTCGTTTTGAGTGTGTTCCAGGCTCCTGACCTAAAAATTCTCCCAGTACTGTTTTCGTCAATGACCATTCTAATCATTGAAGGAAAACAATATACAGGGTGGTCCCAACTGTATTCTGGCAGCATATTCTGCAGATAAAAATAAGTAAAAACGTTCTTATACATGTATGTTCCTATTAATGTATAAATACAGTTCGAACCACCCTGTAAAATAATTTGTATACCAAAAAATATAGTTAGGAAAATACAGTTGAAGGTTGGAATCTTTGGTGTTACAACAGCAAAATAAAACACTAATTCACTACAATACGCCAAAATACTATTTATAACGCTGGCGTTTCGCTAACCATGTTAGCATCATCAGCAGATGATTAAAACTGTTCTTAAACTCAAAATCATCTTCTAGTGCTGCTAACATGGTTAGCGAAATGCGTGTCCAGTATTAAAAGTAAATTGTTTTGATGTATTGTGTTGAATTAGTATTTTATTTTGCTAGTTAGAAGAAATCTAAAATTTTTGCTAGATTAAACCCCTCTATCTATATGAATACTAAAAATATTAATTTGGAGGACAAAATCTTTTAGCTAAAATATCTTCTGAATTATGGTAGCTTATATTGTTGTATAAAATTGTTTTATTTTAAATTGAACCTAATGTGCATTATTTCAAAAATAAAAAAAAAACAATTACTAATTCCAGATTTGTGAGAAAATTAAGATATTGTTGCTCTCTTCCTGAATTATAATTTTATTATGGTTTATTTTATTAATTCATACATAATTCTTATTATTACAGTACTTCTCATCGGGCTGTTAACACTGGGACTGGTTTTATTCGCTCTCCTATTGGTGTGTATTATACTCACTTGCGTACGAAGAAAGCCTACCAATCGTGGTGTTTCCAGCACTATGGGCTTTTTGCCTCAAAGTAGCGTTAACAGAGACGGCACACTCGACAGGCGGGCTATGATCGAAGACACCAGTTCTGAAGACAGTAGAAGTGAAACAAACACATTACCACCATACGTCCAACAGGTAAGCAACCAACTAAGCTAAATCTTCGGTCTACCGGTATTTCTGAAATATTTCCGTACTGGTATCATCTCGTATCCGGAAAATTGCCCGAAAACAAATCACCCAATCACCGAAACGAAGATTGTCCTAATGGAATATTGCCCGAAAAGATAATTTCCATAAGAACATTTTCCCGAGTCAGAAAGTTGCCCCAAAATAGCAATAATTTTCGGTTCATTGTCATTGTCATCTCTGCCAATTTCTGTAAAATTGTATTTATTGTGTAATCCGAGTATAAACACGTAGAATGGTAGTCAAAATACCGGTTTTAAAGAGTACTAGAAAACCGGTTAAAAGCGTTACGGTAATCCGAAAAAAAACTAGTTTAATGCCTCTAGCACCAAACTCAAACTCTGACAAGCGCAGCTGATTTTATTTTTGTAATCTGAGGGGGGCCACCTATAACCTATAATTATGCCATCCTATAATTATATCTGACCAGCCATCCTATAATTATGTCCAAACGGTAGGTATTCTGTTCCACCCGGTATTCCTAGGCATGTTCGGTCTTCCGGTATACCAGTACCACGACCGGCACTCTTGAAATATTCCGGTATCGGTATCGTCTTTTACAAGACCGGTATACCGGTTTCGGTACCGGTACCGGAAGATCGGTTTCAATCGGTACAGAAAAATAGATTTATGATAATATGAAAATGAAAAAACCTGTATAAAACGATTTCGGTACCGGTTTTTGTGTAAAGCTGATTGTGTTCTCCTACTCTAGGTACGGTATGATCGAAAAAAAACTGCGTCAGCGATGGCTATGGAATGAAAATCGCGGTCATTTTATATATAAAAATATATGGGGAATGTAGTCGGTGTTTATTTCCAAGCCAACTGGACGCCGTTTTTTTTCGATCATTCGGTTTAATACGGTCAGGAACATGCAACGTAATTTATTGTGATGTATTTTTTATATTATTTTGAAGGCATTGCTAGTCTAATTTGGTCTAGTAATCTAGGTAGTCTTATTTTTTTAGTACTTCTAAAATTCAAGTAAAGCATCTGACTCATGGATCACTCTTGTATATTATATAAATTAAAATGTCCGTAAAACTCCGATATTCAATAGCATCAACTCCATTATTTAAAATATGTAAAATAACATCTTATTTCCGCTCCAATATATCTCCAAAAGCTCCTTTATAGCTCCAAAAACAGCAGCTTCCAGTACTTTTTCTATTTTTCATAAGAGAATGTTAAGACAAGAAATCAAGAATATGCCGGAAATGTGAACATAAACAATGAAAATTTTAAGTTAGATCAATAACGTTATAACAGTAACGGATAGATTTACGACATTATATTCCGAGAAATCTAATTTATCCCTCAAAATACCGTATTTACTTAACGTTACAGGCACGGAAATTTTCTATTTACATTTTTTAATACGGTATCATGAGGTACAACTCACTGGCTCAACAATCAAAACTGCGATGTTATTTCGGTCTTTCCGATATTCCGGTTCATCCGGTCTTCCGGTCCAGCCGGTATGCCGGTTCAGTATCGGTCCCACTGATCTAATTGTTGGAACCGGTATACCGGTTGTAGGACCGGTACTGAAATATTAGGACCGAACATCCCTAGGTATTCCGGCCCAACCGGTATTCCGGTATATCCGGTATACCTGTTGTATGACCGGTTAATTTTGATACCGGATACCGGTATTGACATTTTAGGACCGACCATTCCTAGAACCAATAAACTGCATTTCCTTAATATTAGACTAATTATTGAATAATTAATGAAAACTCTTGTCACTTAACATACCTGAGATAATATATCTGGTCTTATAGAAAGTACCAAAACTGAAACCACCACCTGCAAAAGGAGCCTTGAAGAAAGTATCAAAGGTATCAATGAGTAGCGGGCCCGAACGTCGTGAGTCATCATCGATTATCTTTCCAGGTAAGTTAAACTCCTTTTTATAATAATTTTTTTTTCAATTGGGTATTGACTTGAACTACAAAAAATCAGTCAGTTAGGATGTAGCAATTCCTGAATTTTTCCACTGAGTGTCCCACGATGGTAGTTGGGGCATGGTTATTCAACCATGAAAAAATTATCGAGTTGTAATCAAAAAATAAAGGCAACGAAAATTGGAGTTTTATATAAAAGGATTTTTTTTCATTGTTTAGCATTTCTAGGCAAATAAAAATTAAATGTCCTTTTATTACAGATCAAAAAGACCGAGCGTTAACTGTAATGATACCCAGAGCAAAATATCATCCCGCTCCACCTACGTCTCCACTGATAAACTACACGAGTTTTGACACCGGGAAACCCAGCGTGCCATGTATTAACAATGAGGCAAAACTTCTAAGTTATTTGGATGCTGGGCCCTGCTCTACTAAGGTACTAAACCTTATTCAAATCGAATTTATATTTGTTTGTAAGGGGGTAAAAATACAATACCAGTTGATTGGGTAACATATGGGTAACACTAACTTCTGTTGTTATTAGGTTTCCAGTTGTGAATATGATTTATCATGTATAAGATCTATTCTTTACCAAATACTTGTATTGTATTTACTAAGAGTGGGTCCTCGTTATTCTTAATATAAGGGTCCCCACCTGGGACCCTCCACTGCGACCACGAGGGCTTTAACACAAAATAAACAAGAAATAGTTGCGAAGAAGCTAAAATAAACAGCATTGTTAATATTAGATTTGTTATTCGTTAGACCTTATTTATATCAACAAATAAACAAATTTTAGTATAAATAAAATCGAGGAAAAGTCGTTACTTAAGCCCGGTTGGCACGGTCCAAGTGTACTTGGACCAATTACTATTGGATGCTGCCATATAAGTATAGGTACATGGATGCTGTGCGTGTCTCACAAATATATTTGGTGTCTTACTTGTACGCTGCTTCTATCTTATCAACTGTTTTATCTAAGTTGAGTTGGAAAGCACATTAGTTCGCAGTCAGCCTACTTACTTGGATGTTACGAAGCCTTCCAGATTGACTTTGCTTCAAAATTGAAGCCTTCCAGATTATGCTTGGTCCAAATGCACTTGGACCAGAGAAGAACAATCGTCTTGGACCGTGTCCAATCCGCCTTTAATAGAAAATAATTTAATAAACTTTGTAAAATATTAAGCAACATTAGATTTAAAATTTTAGATTGAATCAAAAAGAAGATCTAGCAACACCGCAAGTGAATCTTTCATCGAAGAAAATCCAAGTTCGAGAAAAACATCAGGAGCATTGGTATCGGCTGGATTTGAGGTGTCCGCAACAGTTGTAAATAATATGGGCACTTTAGGTAAAACATGTAACACGAAAAATATGCTTAAATTAACTGGAATATTTTGTTTAGGTACCACCTGTGGAACCGAGGCTGACAGAAGCGAAAACGCTACACTAATACACAAAATTAGTGCGGATTTAATATCTAGAGCCGACACATCATCGCAATTTAACACACTGAGAAAATCTATTGTGTAAGTATTTCTCATAAGTATGATCGAAAAAAACGGCGTCCATTTGGCTGGGAAATGAACATCGATGACATTCCCCATAAAATTTTACATATACGAATTATACGATTTCATAGACATCGCTGCTGCCGTTTTTTTTTCGATCATACGGTATTTAAGAAATCAAATTGGCATTTAGACATATCTGTTTCTTTTTATTAAATGAAAAACAAAAAATCCGGCGACGACAGGAACAGAAAAAATAATAAAGGATTATCAAGATTTCACCTTTTTTCCCTATGTCAAAAGTCGTCAGTGATACATTTTTGGAACTGCACTTGTCTGAGCACCTAAACTTTTGACGCAATTTAGCATTATTTTCTAAATCTTTTTTAAATTTCTAAAATCGCAACAATCACCTTCAATTTTACAACACCCCATACTGACATAATATATTTTATGCTAAAGACTTATAGGTATGATAGATAAACTATCCCCTCAGAAAACAGGGTAAATTATCTGAATTAAGAAATGTTGATTCACAAAAAATTCGGAAATAAGTCCTTTAAATAGCAAGCTTTTTATATTAAACTAGTTGAAGCCTGGCGCATCCGCCAAGACCTCAGGAAAAAAATACTTTTTATTTTTTTTTAATTAAACGAAAAACAAAAAATTCGGCGACGACAGTTTTTAGAAGAGCCAATTAGCTATCTTTTAGTAAAAAAAGCAACTTTCTAGAGCAAGTCGTTACTTCAGTAGAGACGACACAGATAAACATTAGCATATGTAGATACTGGGCGACAACGTTGCACAAACGCCTCTTTGATTGATTTTTGTCAAATAAAATTCAATCTTGGAATCAAAATACCTTTTCAAAATCACTTTACCTATCAAAACTCATATTTTTATTTAAAAATAAAGTAAATATCACACTTTTCCTAAATACACTTGTAATTTTTGATTAAAATGAATATTCCTCCAATTTTAATCTTATTTTTTCTAGAAATTGTGAACGGGAAGCGGTCCTACAAAAAAACTAATAAGTAAATATGTCTAGATACTTGTAGTTGCTACTATAACTCAAAAAATTGTGTAATAAATTTGGTTTAACTATTTTCAATGATTTAATAATATTTCTTGAAACACTAGTAATTTTTTTTTAATTTAAGTTTATTTGGTCCACATCAAACTAAGAGCTTACCTAGAAATTGACAAATAATTTTATTTTTAGGGATGATGATCTAGAGTCTAACAGTAATTGGCTAGATATACCTAGGATAAGGTCAGTATAATTGGATTTTATTCATTAGCGAGTGATCTTGACATTTTCGTAGCATAGATAAAATTAAATATTTCTGGGCATTGATGCATTTATTTGTAAATTTAAGTTGTTCTTCAAGAATATAGATTTTATCAACTTAAGTTTTACTTAATAACAACTCGTGATACATACAAGTCAAAACGCCTTGTCAAATTTCATTATTAAAGATAATGTTAGTCCAAGAACATATTATGCTAGTAAACGTTATCCAACTCAGCAATATCACATGTTATAACTATAAGTATATTAATTTCACTTTTTTCGATTTCAGTACTGTATCAGAATCTCGATCGTACGATGAAACGACGATACCCCCTCCGATGAAATCTTTTAGGAGTGACTACGATACAAAGTCGCTACAGCACCAAAATGATGTAAGTACTTTATATCGTCTTTGTAAATATTCTATTTTACTAAGTATTTATTTAAGTATCACTAAAGAATTTCTAAAACTTCTCAAGAATTTTTTTTTCTAATTCCCTTATTTTTATGCGTATGTTTTTATGGCAGTTAAGAAAAAAATGCTTTTTAGAAACATCTTCAGACAGTCATTGTGAGAAATTTTAGAAGACTAATCTGTCAAATATATTAGGGTTGGTTGGTTAGAGTGGCGAGTACGATCGGTTTTACAGAGGTTTTATAGAGGTTAGTTCTCCATTTCGGATATCATTCGTACCAAAGCTTATGGCACGAATGGTTTTCGTCTCGGCGCACTCAGTGATTAAATGTTCTGGTATTTCCCCATTTTCACTATAGAATCTGTATTCCCCATTATTTCTTACCTTCAACCTACTGCAGTATTCATTGAGTGGCAGTGTCCTGTTAAAAAGCCCGCGACAATCCGAAGATTGTTCTTACTTAAACCGTAACATTAAGTCAAATCATCTTTGATTTTTCTCTCGCGAAATTTATTCGAGTATCTTAGACTGTTGGAACAGTCTCATTCCAGATTACGGATGGAGTCTTCCAGGTTCTTGAGCTCTGCTTTAAGTTGGTTTCCACTTGGGAAGCAGAACGGTTCTAGCTCATTTAGTGGAGTGTTCGCTCCTTTTCTAGCTAGATCGTTTGATTTTTCATTGCCTTCTATCCCTTGGTAGGCTAGCACCCAGAGTAGAAGGACTTTATTTTCTTTGCCTAATTTTTAAAGTTTCTCTAGGCATTCTTTGGCCAATTTCGAATTGATGATTATTTAGTTGATTTTCGAGCATATTTTCCATCTCCTTTCCACCAAATAAGCTTTCTTACTGTCGTTTACCTGGTGGCAAAATTGCAAGATATCAGCCTATATTTGACAGATTGTAAATCTTGCATCCACTATCTCTTACATGAGATTTCCAATTATTCACACTTTACTAAATTACGAGAAGCCATAAGCGTTTGATTGAAATAGTTTCTTTTACTCAATGTCACTAGTCTAAATTTCTAAACTACTTATACATATCATGTTTACTCTAACAATTTACAAAATAAAACTATTGTGGAGAATCAATACAGCCAAAATCATTGAAGCCTCTATAGTTCATAAAGATGTACTAAAGTTCTTAAATTAGACATATTTTACGTATTTTAAAGTTGTTAATCTTTTTACACCGATTTATCACTTTGTTATTCTTTTCAGGAGGCCAATACAATGGCGGAGCGTGACTTGGGATCAACGTTCTTGTTGCCCCATACACACCTGTATAAACCTGAGAGAGTAAGTAGATTGTGTGGTCTATCACTACTGGAAAATGATAAAAATCCTGAAATATGTCCTTTATTAACACACCATCGAAATAATTTGTTATCTGATTTTTTAACGGTTAAACAAAAACCCATTTTTTTTTTTTTGATACTACGGTATTTTTTGAATGTAATTTTTTTATATCTAATTTTTTCCTTTTTATTTCAGGGTTCAGATATATCAGGTTTCGAGTCTTTGTAACACTCTGCAGGTTTTTAAAAGACTAGTAAAAGTACGTTACGCAATTGTCCAAGTGCCTTATTTATTATTAGTACCTAAATATTATTATTTAGAAAATACAGCGGAGCGAATGGTTAAAAAAAATAATTTCATATATCTAGTTGTTTCAAGTTTACCCTGTTGGCCATAATTTATTTAAATTGATGTAAATAATTTATTTCGCGTATTATTTTAATAATGTTGTATGAATGAATTATCCAGTATGGGCCTTTTATTACAAATTTATTGGATCGCCCGGATACTGCTGTGAATGCGTGTGAATGTATATATCGTGTGATATAAGAGTAATTTTTATATACAATGTAACGAAACAAACATATTTATATTTTAAGTAAAAAATCTGGTCTTATATAAGTACTTACTATACGTTATGCTGTAAATTTGTAATGTATAATAAATATTTTTAAATAAATAAACGTAATATATAAGTATATACATAATTTGTGTAGCAGGATAGGAGTGCCAAAACAGTAATGTGATTTCCTTGGAAGAGATCACTTTTCTAATAAGAATTTATTGTTTGAGTTTACTAATTTTGTTCTATCGAAAACAAGAAATATACAAATGTTTTAAAATATAAATTGCTTTTATTTATTGACCTACAAAAAAAGGTAATAAAAGCAAAGCCAAGTTAACTCGGTTTGCTATTGACATTCATTATTAAATGCCTTGGTATGCTTATTTCAAAATAAAAATTTATTAATGGTTTACAAATAATACAATATATGACATTTATGTGTTACGGGTAATACGCGAAATTAGTTAATTCGCGAATTATCCGGTTAAAATGCGAATTAATCAACAGTCAGTTAGTGCATCTGGCTCACCCCTATAACATTTTTATTTTTTCAGTTAAAAAAACGAGTTTTGGTATGTTAGTATATGACATAAATTAGGATTGATTATGGATTGATGACGTATTCAATTGTTTTCGGTCAACAACTTCGGTTTACAACTTTTGATTTTTAAATGGCACCATCAATATTTTTGTTTATTTAATATTTTTATTTACTTTATTCTATAGAAAATAAATATCTGAATAGAATGACACATCATATGTCAACTTTTGACGTTTTCATATGCATATGGTTTATTTGAAATTATAACTTGCAGTTCGTAACGAAAATTTGACTCGAAATAGTGTGTGGTATCAAATTATTTGTAAAAAAATGCTTTTTCCAAATATACTAATGAGCCACCCTCGTTCCATTTTAAAAAATTGGGATATGATTAAAAATACGATTTGAGCATTTTCTAACTAGCCAGGACAAGACACTAAAAACATTATACGATCAAATCTATTTTTCCAAGGCTCCTTGATTAATAACTAGTGTTTTTAACATAGCCATGGCACTCTAGATTGAATTTTAAAATACGATTTTTTATTAAACGAGAATGTCAAAAGTTGACATATGATATGTCATTCTATTCAGAATGTAATTTTCTATCGAATAAAATACCGGAGGTGCCATTTAAAAATCAAAAGTTGTAGTCATTTTCGGTGAAACCGGAACTGACCAAAAACAATTGAATACGTCAATCAATCCTAATTTATGTCATATACTAACATACCAAATCTCGTTTTTTTATCTGAAAAAAATCAAAAAGTTATAGCGGTGAGCCACTTTTGAGACGCACCCGGTATTGTAATAATGTTCGCAAATTATCCTATTAGAACGCGAATTATACAATATGATTGGTTATATCTGCTAACACTTGGTTATTTCGCGAATTAGCCAGATAATATGTTAAGCGAGCAATTAATATCACATCCATAGGCGTATGCAGGTAATAGTGATGGGCATTACGATTCTTTTTAGTGAATCGAATCACACTATTCGATTTCTCATATTGAATCGACTCCTACGATTCGTTCATTTGAACGAACCACATGCACAATTTATGTTTCATAAAAATAAGAATCGTTCAAATGAACGACTCGTTCAGTTTTTGCCCACCTCTAGCAGGTAAAATGAGATGCAATTTTATTAGATAAATTTTAGCATTCATTTTGTACACTTCAACAAACAAATCTTTTTGCCAATCTAGCAATTTTTTTCAGTCTTAAAAATAAAACAAAAATCAGGCAGATGCAACCACATTCTGCTTATTAAAACAGGATAGGCTTGAATTACATAACATATTTTTTAGAGGGTGTATTTTTTGCCTCCTTAACACATTCATTATGTTCTTATAATAATCACAGTTTAAATAGCCGATTTTATCACTTTTTGTAACTGCGATTTTAAAAAAGTCTTAGGTCGCATGTACGGAATGACTGAAGCGGAGCACCTGGAATGAGAACACCGTAAAACGCATTTATGTTGACACCTGTTTAAGCTTCCTACCATATGATTGAAAGAAAAAAATGGTGTTAAAGATGGCTGTGGAATGACAATCGATGATAATTTTGGCGAGGTCAAACCCTTGGCGTTGTTTACTTGATCTGTGCTGTTCTATATTTTTTAATGGTGCTTACTGCCAGTTGGCCGTAAGAAAATTGTAATTGATTTTTAAGGTGTAGGTAGTTTAAAAATCGAGAAAAAAATAACTTTTACGAAATAGATTCGTGCGTCTGAAAATCTTCTATCCTTTTTAATCTTCATATAATTAGTGGTAATTTTTGACAAGTTTTGTGTCATTTTTTAGTAAATGACGTCGACACAATTATCATCGATTGTCATTCTCTAGCCGTCTTTGACACCGTTTTTTTTTATCATGCTGTATATTGCTGCCCTTGTTCACAAAAGATACAATACTAAAGCCCCATACTCACACTTCGCTCCTGCGTCCCTTCCTCGCGTTACTTCGTCACTTCACTTCGTTCCTTCGTCCCTTCGCTTCCTTCCTTCGTCCATTCGATGCTTGGAAATTAGTCGATTATGCAACAACACACCACAAAATATTTTTAATATAGCAGCTACATGTTTATTACGAAATATCTAGACCTCTAAATATCTAACCTCTAAAATTTTTAAAAAATCCGAAAGGCGCATAATTTTTATTTTATAAAACTGCCAGTAGCGTGGCAAATTCTCGCGGGGCCCCCTAACTATACTCAAAAATTCCTTCAAATACATCATTATTGTGATATCTGCTTGAAACATTTCAGTATCGTGTACAACAATATGATAGTATGAATTTACAAGGCGAGTCAACAATATTTATTTAGTTTATTATGTATTTTATACTCTTAAACTACTGAAATATGACATTAATTAAACGTTGATTTATAAGGGCATCATGCATACTATTTCTATTCAACATTTTTGTACTAATAACAATTACATAAATATGGACATGTATTTTTCACAAATATGAAGACATTATTGTTTTTTCTTCCTTCCATTGATATACAGGATGTCCCATTTTTGTGTGTTTTATGGGGTTTCTGGTTTATGAGTAGAGATATAAAGATGCCGTTTTCATATCATTATTCTACTTATTATGAAACCAAAACAACTACATACAGTAGATTTATCCTAGACTCTTAGTTCAAAGTTATTTTTTTTTCAAAAATAAAATACAGAAAACTTTTTAATTAGTAGAAATTTTTTATTTTTCGATAAAGTAATCGTATCTTCGAATTATCTTATATGCTAGATTGTGAAAAGGTCGTGATGGGAAATTTGGGTAAGTACCACTTTGTAGATAAATAAAATCTGGGTATATCCTGTATATATCTACAATGTAGATTGGTATGAACATTCAAATTTTGAATAAAAGTTTCCGACGACCGCATAGTAAATACCCAGTATAATACCGGGAATAGAAATGTACCAATATATATATATATATATATATATATATATATATATATATATATATATATATATATAATAGCCAACTGACGCCGTTTTTTTCGATCCTACGGTATATACCAGATACCCTGATTTTGTTTTGTTCTACCCATTGAGTACTTACCCACCGCCCGTGTCTCGTTTTTAAACAAGTATAAAAAAGCACTGTTAAACTATTTCGTTGGGAGGTCTATTTCAAAAAAATGACTCAAACTGCTATGTTCTTTTCAAAAACAGGAGACTCTATATACTATTTTTATTTTATTTGCCTTGTTATGAGCTTTCTAAAATTATAATTGAAATTATATTTATTTAGGTACTGCTACACTTCTAAATTGTCCCTTAGATTTTATTTAACAATTTTACTCCTGATAATTTTGATTTGCATCAGTGATATTTTGATAAACTACACGGAAACTGAATTTTGCTGCTTTTAAATAACATAGTAATAACCAACATTGTACGTCGAATAAATTAGTAAGAAAATAAATTCGATATTTTCTATTTTATCTAACATCTTGGCCTCATCTCTATCAGTACAATCGTACGTTTTTTTCAGTATTAATCTTAAATTCGATACTTAACGACGGGCAGTGGTGAAGCTATGGGGGGTGTTGGGGATATACCCCCCATTTATAAGACAACGCGACGTCTAAATCCCAAATTAAAAATATTAAGGATGATACGATTTTATTTTAATTTTAGAGTTGTCATAACAATAATTATTTATGCATGTTATAATGTTCAACAATAAAAAAATTTAAGTTTTAAATTAATAAAACAATTTTTTTTTTTAAACGAAGGGTTTTTATTTTTTAATTATTCTGAAATTTTGCATTTTATGGGAACCTTTTATCTCCTTATCTTATAACTTATGAGAAAAGGTGAAGTACAAGATCGTGAAATGCAATACTTTCAGGTTCACCATATGTTAGGAAGTAAGAGAGCTAGGACATATCTGTATGTACATCTTTAGTTTCATAAATGTAACAGCGTAATGTGAAAATCGCATCTTTGTATCTGACGACTCATAAACGAAATACCCTGCATAATACACGAAAATGGGAAATATACAGATGTACTGCCAAGTCAAGAAATCAACTACGAATGAAATCCATAGATCGATTTATATATATTTATATATTTTGTGTTCGTGATAATTCCTTTGCTACTTCGTCCAAAACCAACAATACGAGGAAGGAGAGCGTTTCGAACGAAGGACACACAGTCGCATAAAATCGACATTTCCTATAGTAAATATAAGATTTTGGACGAAGGGATGCAACGAAGGAAGGAAATGAGTATGGGGCTTAACACAATAAACGTTTTATAACGGTTGCTTTTGGATAATTAATTCGCATTTTTAACCTGTTTGCGGTAGATAATAGGCGAAACTAACACATATTCGGGTTTTATTCATTGCATATAGACACAGATAATTTGGTGATTTAACTGGATAATTCTGCGAATTAACTGATTCGCGTATTACCCCTAATATATATAGGGTGAGCCTTCAAAAGTGAAAAATCACTAAATAAACACTAAAACTGCATTTTTTCACTTTTTCAAATCTTTCAAATATTCGATTTATTGAATTGAAAAAATTACCTCAGATTTTTAGTAAATTTTATGCTCTACAAGAACTCCGCGATTTCAAATTTTTTATCATAAACCGTTTCAAAGTTATGGTACTTTTTAATGGAAAAAGATTTTTTAAGTGTTATTTAAATGAAAACTTCACCGACACCTCTTTAAAATTGAGCTAAAAAAT